GAGCGAAGGCCCTGGCACGCAATGGAGGAGGACGCCCCGGGCTGGCCGTCTCTCTTTCGTTCTCCTCTTGCATCCCCGGAAGAACAACCATCAGCCACGCCATTGGGCGGCCTCCAAGTACCTCACAGACAGGGGCCCCACGCGCCCCAGCCTCCCCACGCTGCGCACCAATCGCAGCGCACCTCTTGCAAAGCGTTGCGGCGCTTCATTGTGCCCCGCATGGATCTACGCGTGTAGTGTCCGCGCCCCCTCCCAGGGGTGGCGACATCTCGTCCCACCAGGAGCGGGCGTTTGTCCTCTCAGAGGCGCTTGCCTCCCTTCCCACCAGGGGCGGAGGGGACAAATAACATAAACATGCGCTGTTGCTCTGTCGTTAATGTACCTAGTACTAATTGTTTTTTCGGCGGGAGTGGTTGTTATAACTACTAATCCTATAATTTAAATGAATATGAATTACATCGATGCAAGCGCAAACTGTCTAGCTACGACGTTCATCATAGGCGAGCTCTTCTTGTTCCTAGACTATTTTTGCTACTATAAAAGTCCAAAACTCAGTTCGATTATTTCTTTTAGATTTCACACCTCTGCAATCGCTCTGTCGCCAAGCAGCCGGGACAGCTGCAACCACCATCGGCGACAAGAACGCGGGAAAATATTAGCGACCCCGAAGTATCACATAGCCAGAAACCCTACTCACCCGCGAGCCACGGTCGACCGTCGATGAGGGCTACCCTATTTCTTTCAACAAGAGATGAAGTAGTTGTTACAAGATGAAAACGCGATTGCTATTCAACTAGTACTACTCGAAGGAAGGCAAAAGACTCGATCGAAGATATGAGCAACCCTCTACGACGTCAGCGTTAGCGACCTACTTTTAATTACTCACAAGTCATCGGAGGGAACGAATGGGAATGCAAGTGGACTTCAGTGTCTTGAGTCGACGACTTGCAGCACAATCAGCTGATCCTCGACCGATATCAATCCCTGTGATTGGTAAATTAGGAGAATCTGAATCACGGGAGGACGGTTCTCTGACATGACCTGCTCCACCCCATCGCCAACTAATTCCAAAACTAGTCTTAATTAGTGACAAATAAAGCAGGTGTTGCGCAACTCCATCCTTTTGCACGTCGACGACGAGGTTCACTCGGTATCGGTCCTCGTCACGGCTGTTCTCTACGTACCCTTTGCCCTGCCCCAAAGCGGATCCTATCTTTTTCTTCACATATGGACTCTTACTTCACGGAGAGAAACAGCAGATCGACGACACGGCGATACATCCCCTCCTTTAAGTTTCGGGGTGCTTTCTTTTGCTTCAAGAAGCTGGTAGAGAACGATCGCCATGCGTGAACGGGTGAAAGTATCTTAAATAATTTCATTCTAGGTTCTGGTAAACGTAAAATCCAGGTATGGAAACGGAAAATGACAGAATAATCTTCTGAAACTCAATGTTTGCGTACATCACTATTCACCCTTACTCATAGAGGAAGTTGATCAAAACGGTAGAGAAATTCTACCGGTCACGCGTAGAAGGTTTCTGCCACAGTGCGAAACATACCTATGTGCCTTCTGTTCATCTCGAGGGTGACAACGAAAATCACCCAGTTCCTAGTTCAAACTTCTCTCACAGAAAAGAGGGTGTACAACCAATTATAGCCTTGTTCTCAATTCAGCTACTGCCAACTGCCACATTAACATCCTTCTCCAAAACTAGTTTTCTTTAGAATTTTTAGAAAACTCAACGATTGCGATACTGTTTCCAAAAAAAAGAAATCCCCTTCCAACAAAAAAACGGAAAATATACAGCTCCTGCACCCTCTATCTCTGTTTGACATAGAGACTGACAGACGCTAAACCCTTTCCACCCGCCTCTACCTCATATAATTACATCTCGATATGTACAACTAATACCCCTAAATAATGTACCAAAATGAAGTACGACCACCTGTCGAGTCTTCGATTACTGGACGACCGGGCGGTACTGGCGGTTGCCCTTCATGGTCGGAGCGCCCGCGGACGTCTTCGTGGTGGGCGGAGCGACGGCAGCAACTTGGGGGACACCACGAGCATCATTAAATTGTGTGATAGTGGTGGCCAGGATCTCTTGCGACTTTCCGTTGAGGTACCTTGGTATCGGGGTCGTGTAGAGCACCGCTTATCACAAGCTTCGATTTCTTCCACGATGATCAGGATTGACTCCTCCATTACATTCATTCTGTTTTTATCAGGTTTTCGTTGACTTTTCCATTGCCTGAAAATACATCTAAAAAAAAATCAGTACTTGGAATCGAGCGAGGCAGCTGTCTCGAACGCCGGTCGAACAACCTTGGTCTCAATGGCACCTGTTTTGGTCAGTTAAAGAAAAGCTTGCAGTTGTCAAAGAAATTTCTGCTCTATTTGCAAGTGTGATTCATCAACTTCTCTAGAATTTGTCGTTGATTTGTGAAGTAGAAGTAGTAAAGTCTATTTTGTTGGGCATCTTATTCAGAATAAATGAATTGGAATTCTTCTGGTTGAAGCTAACGACTCTAGTACCGTTAGCCACGCACGCGTCGAGCTTTTTCGAGCGTTCTACAACAGCAGCCATCATGTTTACGAGGCTAAGCTTGGTATCGAGCCATCCCGCGGTTTCGATGGCCTTGGTCGAAGTCTTGGTCGCAACGTCTTTTGTCGTCGCAACCACTGGAGTAACCTGAGAGAAATAGATTGTGGGGTACAATAGTGATAGATATGCTTGTGGTACTAGTAGCGAAGGAAAGGAGGGTGAAATAACTAATTCTCGTCGACAATTTTTTGCAGCACGAAAATGGTCATGATCAACAAAATGTTCACACTTATCGCACAGCGGAGAAGTAGACTAATCATTGGGAAAGTTCGCCATCCACATCTCTTACTGGCAGGGGAATACAATATTTATACGATGGACGTGTTAACGCAAGTCGCAGCGGGGATAACGACAGTGTCCTTCACCATGTTGTACTTCGAAACTGTGACATCCTTCGCGGTGGAATACGCGTAGCCGGTGGTATCGACGGTGAACGTAACCTGAGGTTCGGTTATACAGTACCGAAAAGAACTGTGGGTGCAGGCCAGTGATCGTGGACCCGCATGGCTACGAGTAGTTGTTGGGCACGAAGGTTCTCAATAGCTACCTTTGTGAAAAAACACCAACCTCCACCCTGTCATACCACAATGGAAACTAGCACGTTGCTAAGGACCACGATAAAACTGTCATCGTCAACATCAAAATAATACCGCTGGGGTGACAATTCCATCATCGAGCTTGCCGAAAGTGACCGATACGAATGCTTTCAGTGCGGCAATAACTGCTGTTAGTTGATCGCGCACATACAAAGTCGGTGTCGTGAAGAATGGCGAGAGCGTTCTGTAGATTTTTGTTATTTTTTACTCATTTAGTTCCTTTGTGTTCGTTTTTCTGAGTGGCATATAGAAATGGCAGTGTATAATTGCAGATACTTCTACTTGCTCGTGTATGTCCTCATGAATTTCTACATTTTGATGCTAGTACTTATGCTTGTTAATAAATATGTCATAATCTTGCTTCTTCATCTGATAATCTCGACGCAGAAGTTGTTCTTCTTCCGCAAGTATTTTTGAAGTACGTTAAGACGCTTTCGAGTGCCTCGATCAGAGTGCTGTAGAGTGTGAAGGTCTTCTCCTTGGACCACTGGACAGCCTCAACTTCTTGAATTTTGGAAATAACGAGCTGAACGCTTGCGACCGCTTTCTCTACCATTTCCGCTGGGAACGCGGGTGCTACCTTACAATAGTTTCATGTGATTTTTATGCTATGCTGAAAATAAAAACTTGCTGTCTTCTTGTTCATCTCGAATCTACAACGAAATGCCATAAAGTGTGAAGCGAGACCATGTATCAAGGGCTGTTGTCATGAAAACCCGGTAAAAAAAGAGATGAGGGACCCCAGCAGAATTCCAAATCATGATCCAGCCTCTATGCGGTTATTGACGAAGGCCCTAAGTTATGCTGAACCTGCATGAGGCTCTTGATCGCGTTCTGGCATCGCTCGAGTTCGCTGACGACGTTGCCTTTTACGCTGTCCGCTGCGCTGATGCCCTTTGCCTGGACCCAGGCTCCGCTCTGTGCCAAGACTCCCATTTTGATGTTGTTGGTGGAAGATGGAGAACTAACTATTCTTTGTTCTGGTAATTCTTGTGATTTTTTTGTTGTTCGTCGCGTTGACGCCAAGTTGTACACGCTGATCTTGTTGTTGAGAAGTACTAGTCTAGCTGTAATTGCCCTTGAATGTTTCTTTGTAGAATTTTTTCTCCTTGGATTTCTTCGAGAAGGTGTTTGGTCGTTGTTCGTTGTTACACTTGTGAGTACTTGAACTAGACTACTAGTCTAACGTAGATTCTCTAGCTACGGAAAATTATCGAACTATCTTCCCGTTTAATCGAGCGAACAATATTATTGCAGGGTGCGTCCTACAACAGTTTTTTGATGTTGGGAAAAAGGAAATGGTGAAATGAAGAGTCCTTAACCTTCGAAACCAAATAGTAATACTAGCTCCTTGCGAACGCAAATAAACTACCTCCGACATCACAGAGATCGAAATCAGATGAACTAGCGTATCTTCATACATACTAAGAACGACAAATCCTTTTTTACCACAAAAACCATCAGAAAAAAAAAGCTTCAGACGTCGAGAGGATGAAAAAAAGTCAGGCACTAGACATCCATGTCAGAAGACGATGCGTGTGCGTTACAAGGACAAGAACTTGTGAAAAAAGTAATTGATTTGATTATGAATCAAGATATATGTTGAATGTTGTCCACACCGTTCCAAAAAAAATTACAAACCAACATACTTATGTTTATGAAGATCCCAGACGATCTTCACATACGACACTCATTCATTCAGTACTCGCGCAAATATCTTCTTTTTTTGCTACCTGGATACTATTCTCGCTATATTAATATCTGCGATGACTCCACAAAGTGGGCTTTGTCGACGCTACGTTTTTTCATCTCTCGTCGACGCATTTTTATTCTCCTTCACTCAGTAGAAGCACCCGTGACGTTAGATTTCGTACCCATTTGATTTCGTAAATATCTTCTGTGACCCACGAACTTGTGTGGGACTGACCGCTCACAACTCATCAATGCTGCCTGGTGACAGTGGTGCCTCTTGTACTTCGAGTTCGAGGAAGACGAACACGAACAAAAATCACCGCTCACTGCTTACCCTAAACTAGATTGGGTTGTCGGGGCTGCGTGGGGGTGGCACATCAAGATCTTGGGATTACACGAATAGATACGCTGCGTCAGCCAACTTTTGTCCTCTTGTCTTTCATCTTGCTTACGCGATGAGATCAACAATCCTGATTTTTATTCGTGCCCAAACGCAGATAAAACGAAGTTTTATTCTTCTTCTACCAGCGAAAAACTAAACATGAGTTTGAACATTATTTTTACATTTTGAATTTCGACTCCTCGACCTGATACAAGGCCATCATGAACAACTTAAGGACACGCGAAGGTCAAGGTAGCTAATCATATGTTGTTTTTCCGTGGTGGGCGTGTCCACAGTAGCTCTACTAGCGCGATTTCTATAATGACGATCAATCACGACTAAGACACTTTTCCAGGACATCCTAAACGCCGATTCTCGACAATCATTATCGGCACTGCCTGTTCATGGTAGAATCCAAGGGGCTCCCAGATCAGGCCACGGAGACTGGCAACTTCTTCTAGTGCCTGAAACTCTCCCTCATATGCCCATCCCGCGTAATTTATCAGTTCGTCGAAGACCAAGATCGTGCCCCTCTCAAGTCTGCATGCGAAATGCAACAGAATCTCACGTGCTGCAGGATAAATGTCCATGTCCATATGCAGAAAGGCTACTCGGCCTTCGTGGGAGAATGAAAGTAGTACAACATCAAATATGAAAACTGTGAAGTAGAAGCACGACGCCGAAAAGTACCTCCTAACTAGGAAGAGAAATTTTCGAGCGCTGACATCCGGAAACAGCAAATTCTACATGAATGACAAAACAGAAAGTGAGTAGATGAATAAGACCAAGGCAACAGACAAAACAAATCAGGTCATAAATCCAGATCGTATTTAGTTTCGTTGAACCACCCCTTGTGCACCAAAATGTTTTTCATGTTCTGCACGATCTCCGGTACTTTGCCGTCCATGGTGAACGTTCCGGTCGCCAGGTTGTTCCACGCATCTGGAATCCCGATGAAGGAATCGAAACCGTGCAGCAAAGGGTGCGGAATTGCTCCTTCTGCTGGTGCCCCATACGTTTTCTGCATTACACTTGCGATGTACGCCGTGCTTTTGCCGCTGGCAACACCGAATTCAGCCCACAATCCTTTGGCTCCGATTTCCGCAGCTTGAATCACGTACTGAATTGCCTCCGACATCATACCCATCCAACTTTCTCTGGGTTCGAGCTTGTAAACGTGCTTGCCCCACCAGGCAGCAGCCTGGTCGATGTACGGCATGGTGAATTCCAATCGATCAAGAGGTTCACCAAACGAAGGTGGAGCAGAGAGTTAGACGAAGTCAATACTACGCTCCAGAACATCATCATGTGAGGTGACCGCGGCAGGTACGTGATGATCAGAATCATTAGAAAATCTAAAAAGTCCTTTAACCAGGTAGAAAAGTACACACTCACTCTTGAAGGGTGATCTGATCCTGTTGAGTAAGATGAAGTTTTGAAAGACTTACTCTTCATTTTTCCCCATAAAGATCGTCTCCACTTTGTGGTAAAATGGTCCCTGCCGATGCAGTTGCTGCCATGTATTGAAGCAACAGTTTGGACTCCTCCTCGTCCATCGTGCGAAATGACCGGGCCCGATTTGATGTAGTCCTTGTCCGCAGTTCTCGTAGTGATCTACTTTTTGGTGCCGCTGTTTGTGCTGTAGTTGGTGCGTTTTTAATCGCAGTGGAACTGGAAGTGGTATCCTGAGCTTCCTGACTACCACTGCTTTCTTCCGCCAACGATGCCATGATTTTCTGCTTACTTTTCTTCGCACTATTGGAAAATCGCTCTTGCAACATCCGCGACACGAAGTCTAAAGCTGAGTCTGGAAGCAAAAGCGATTCTACTCGATAGTTCGCTACGACTGGCGTCGGGATCCAGATCAAGGGAAAGCCGTGTTCTGGCGCCCGCACGAGGTCGATCGATTGAATGCAGAGCTCAGCTTGGAAATCGTAGCCGATACAACTCGATCCTAGTTCATCTTTTTGCAAGCCCACAGCGTTGAACATGGATATCATGCGCAAAGGATTATGTCTTGCTGGCGACTCGTTCGTCTGGAACCAACTTTCGACACTTTTTTCGGGTGAACAATAGGACGCGGAGAAGGTCGCGACCAGATAGGTTTCGTTCATGAACGGAGCCACAAGAGGGATCATGCGCTCCGCTGTTCGCTCATGGTCTTGTTCATCTTCGGGTTGTTCTGCACTTTGTTGTACTGACGTTGCAGGAGGAGCATCCTCCGTTTTCCCAACAACTACATCGGAATTATACATCCTCTCACGAGTGTCCGCAACGTATGTGGTAGGATGCTCGTAGGGAAAGCTATGGTCTCCGGAGAAATGGTAGGGATCATATTGAAGCCGAAATCTCTGATACTGGCGGTGTTTCTCAGGGGGGTTCTCCTGGCCTGGCAGGATAACCATTTGTCCACTCTGATGTGCTGTATCCCCGTCGCTTGCTGCGCCGACACCTTGTATGGCAGCAAGTGGCCCACCGGCAACGGACCATAAAGCGAAGAGAGGCTTTGGCATTGTCGTTCTCTGAAGCGTTTTCCTTTGTGGTGAAGTTACACTGTCGTCGCCTGAGTGGTTGGTTACGCTTAGGAGTTCCCGGTCTGATCCCTATCGTGGTTTGAATGACAGAGAGAGTACTCCAGATTCTATTCCCGCATCGCCTCGCAGAATCGTCTCTCCACTGGCCCGGTCTCTATCTCGCCATCCATCCACGTAATTGTAGAAGGGATGAACGAATCACGACACAGCAAGTCTCAATAGAGGCAGACGTCATCATGGTGGTGATAATTTACATTTAGGATCTTGAATTAGAATTATTCGCGGCAAACCAACTAAGTACTTCTCTCCGTCCTCCCTCAAACTTGAGGTCTCCCTCTTCCAACATCAGGTCAAAAAAAAGCATAGTTTAGCTGGGTCTGTTCGTCCGGTCGTTCTCATTCAATAATAAATTCATTGTTATTGCCCATGCACTCGTGCTGCAAATTCACATCAAAAATCGCAATCCGCTCTACTTCAGGACTGCGCGTCGACAAGAACAGACGCATTGCTAGAAGACACACCAGAGATGCGCCTCCACCTCCGAGAAGCGCTGCCTATTGCTAATAGACAAAAACAATAACAATGGCAAATTTTCACCAATCATGAACCTTTCATTTTCATCCCCCACGAAAAAACACTACATTCATGTTGTAATATGAGTTGTATATTGTTTGCTTGCGGATGTTAAGCTTATGTTTCGTATGCGTATTATTGTGCACCAAAAAAAATGACTCAAATTCTTGCTTAGTTACTAGTTGTCGTTACATCAAAATATGGCAAAAATAAAGTCGACTGACTCCTTCATCATGCCTCCAGCGCATTACGTGCCTCCGTCCCACATTCACCTCCACTAGAACTCGACAGCTGAGAAAAAGTCTCTTTCTGCGACTCCGGAATCGAAGCGGCACGCAGATCACTGATTATGCGCATGATTCTAATTCATCTTGTAGGTAGCTATGTACTAGTACTGAATTAGGTTCATTTGGCATCTCATTCTTCTCTATGCTTGTGGTCTTTGGACTGTACTTCTTCTCCTACGTGTCGTTACAACAGCAGCAGTCCAAGTAATGCTGCGTCATGTGGACTCTTTCTACGAGGTCAAAATTTCGGAACCTCCATCGAACTAAAATTTCCGGAACTTGAGTGGGACCAGTTTCTGCACCTTGCGTCGCCACTGAAAAAGCGGCTCAAGCTTAGCCTCCGACTCGATTTCAGGCAAGGCTGCAGGGTACCGGTCACATGCATCGCCCATTTCCCCGATGAACCTGCCGAGGAAGGAGTATACTGCACACTGCGCTGCATTCAGCGTGTCCTTCGATGGCGTGTCGACGATGAGGCTGTTTTCCGCCAGCTCCCCCAGGAACGCGATCAACTCCTTGCGGATTTCCCTTTGTTAGAGCTGTGTATCACAATACTAGTGCTTTTGGATGGATGGAGTAGTCATAGTAGTTTACCCAAACCAGAAAGAGCGTGGGGGTAGACTCGACGACGAGACCAAGTGCCCCAAGGTCATTGTGCTGTCGTATCACTGGATTCATCTCAGGGTCAGGAAGGACCGACCTGCTAAGCACCAATACTTCTGATATCGAAAATTCTCAACGATTCTTGATACCTCCTACTTTTTACTCACATCCATGTCCAGTGACAGACTCATCCGGTCGTAAAATTCGTCATTGAGCTCTCCATCCGTCTTGCCCAGGTTTTCTGCCACGTCTTTGCGAATCTGTGCACGCTTCGGCGCGATCTTCTTCATAATGATGGCGCGCTTGCACGGAACGCAAGCCGGCACGATTGTCATCACCCGCAAAAGCATGGTCTTTTCGAAAGTCGGCTGATTTACCCAGTTGTAGTACATGACGTACGAGTTCAGTTTCAAATCGATCTCGCGCTCCAATTTCCTCAGCTCGGGCGACGGGAAAAACTTCGCCAGGGAGGCTGACTTTTGTCCATCGACTTGGTCACCACTCGTATCCAGCAGCACCGGAGGCGGAGTAGCGCCTCCGACCACGACTTCTTTATCCCCGGTAGAGGGAGCGACCCATTTCTCATCGATCTCTCGGAGGATGGCACTGCTGTCTGGAACGATCACCAGCTCACCGTCGGAAGTGCGGTACGTCATCTCAGGGGATAGCAGTCCACCAGAAGGGAGCTTGCGCGAGCTAGGCTTGAGAGGGACAGACACGGTTTTGTGCGGAATGGAGCGGGAATCGAGCCCGGCAAGGACTTTGCCCGCATATTGCGAGCCCACAAGAACGTGGATGGTGATGTCCGACATGGCTGGAGAGGCAGACGCTTGCGGAACGGCGGCCATTCTTCCTCGATATGTACCTTTGTGCTGCTTAAGAAAAGGACTGACCTTTGGGAGGCTTTCTCGATCCGCTAAAATCCGACTCGCTGACGTAAGTCTCACGAAGACGAAGCTGAAGAATTACTTTCGCCTAACTACCTCTTCGATATAGATACCCGACTAACAGAAGTGATAAACACCAGCAAAAATGCTCCAGGACAGCGACAAGAAAGGGGTATGGGACACAACAAAGAGGGATAGACCGAGCACCAGAACCTCATAACTCTCCTCGGTGCAGCAAAAAAAATAAGGAAGATACACAGATTATCATCTTCGTCACGACTTCAGAGGTACATCCTAAGTTCCCGTAACATCCTTCGCGGGATCATGAAGCCTCTTTTGTAGAATTTGCGCGCACATGCATCTTCCTAAGTTCTCATAATCAAAGAAAACTGACCGAAAGCAGCAAACACTGCTTGGCACAAAAAGGCTGCCATCTCATTTTCAGATGATTGGTCGCGAGTGCACAACCACATTGACATTACTTGGAATGAGAGAAGACAGAGAGACCGAAAATGGATTACTTAGACGTATGCGCAGATTCACCTCCTTGCTTGACTGGAACGAACACATAGAGAGCTACTTTTCTGTCGCCGCATTTCGTTCACGGATAGCAAGGTGGCGCACCTAAGGATGCTCCTTTTGTTTCAGCTCCTTCTATTACTTGGCAGTTAGATGATCTTGTTGCTTGCAGATGTAGCGAAACCAATCTTCTCTAAAGGAGAAAATTCCCTCCACGTCTCCGCAAAGCGCAGTCACCAGCAACCAAATAACATAGGCTCTCCGTCCGCGTCCGTCTCCTCTTCTCACTGCGACTAGTGTTTCAGCAGTCGTCTCATTCTCGTCATGTAAAACTATTTCTGTAGAACGACATTTAGAGGTAGCCAGCGGTCTGCTTGACAATAGTGCGCTTCTTACCACGCGGCGCCTTGGCCAAGTTCAGCTTCATCTTCTTGACGTTACGACGTCCAATGCGCTTGCGCTTGTCGAGCTTCTCAACGCCGTTACGCTTGCAGCGGAACCTGAGGTAAAACAATGGAAAGGAGGTTGGATTCCGGACACGGACTAGGGCGAACTGTTCAAACAGACGTGTTCCGTTTTTTCGGGAACAGGATCAGTTTCACCTTCACGTTTCCAGGAACTCAAAATCAGTATCATGACACTAAGAATCATTCAGAAAGAAAGTTGAAAGGTAAAATCAGATCAAACAAAGTGTCGTGAATATTGTCGATGCGAAAAAATATGACATAGTCAGTACTTTGGCTCGAACTGCTTGACTTTGTCGAGGTTTTCGTATATGAGGCCCATACCGCTGGATCGGCCACCACCGAAAGCGGTGTGGAATCCGAAAACGCTGACGCACTTGGAATCCTTCACCTGTGATAAGAAGGAGATAATTTCTTTTCATGGTATCTCAGATGTAAAGCCGAGTGGTGTCAACGGCGTTATCTAAAAGCATGCACGGATTGAGGTCTAAATCTGATTTTGAAATCCAGCGCCGCCTTCCTCTAAATCTAAATCAGTATTCTAGTCACCTTCTATTTCTAAATCACATCATACTCACATAAGTCAACATAGACTCATAGAAGTAGTTCCCCCTCCTGTGGTACCTTGTACATAGTGGCGAGTTTGTCAACGATGTCCTTCTTGGACACGTTGGCAGCTCCCGGATGAACAACATCGACGACGAACTGCTTACGACCCAAGAGCGGGTTGTTCTTGAACTTGCGCGTTCGGACAGTGACGAGACCCATTTTTGTTGTCTTTTCGGAGCAAGACCGAGTCTCAGGAACTATGTTCTCGTTTCCCTGTGGAAGTGGTAGGTACAAAGAAATGACAAAAACATCACGGTCAAATCAAAGTTGATGAGGCAAATTCGATCAAGGTTGATTTTTAGAATAGCACGTCGATTCTTTAGTGTTTGATTTTGCAGACGTCTAGCAGGATCATTCGTGAACGCAAGTGTATGCGAACGAAATCGTGTCCGTGACCGTGGATCTGTCAGGCCGATCTTTCACTTTCAGTGGTCATTAAAGATCCAAATCCTCCTCTTCGATCTAAAACACTGATTACACTGACTCGGATCTTTGTTGTGGTAAGATGTTCCAGTCAAAGACGATTCTAAGTGCGGGGGAGCATTTCCCGACCGACGTAACAAGTTTCTTGAAGTCTCACAAGCTTCAGAAAAGATCAGGGATCTTAGGACCACCACACGAGAATGAGGTGGATCTACAAATCTCCTTTAGATTTTATTCTACGGAGCGATTCGTCTTCTTATCAGATGATCTCAAAGTTTAGGAATTGAGAGGGGTTTTTCTGTCTGATCGCAGAATGAGAAAGCAAACGGGGAGGACCGACTGGAAATCTAAATTGCAACTGGTCTAGGCAGAGTGATCACGTTAATTTTAGATCTAGGCTAGAAGGAGCACAGTAATCTGATGGCAACATTGCGAATGCATCTCCATCCCAAGCACACCACCACCAGTGTGGAAATATTAGAGGCCTAAGAGTTCTTCTGATCGCTTTCGCGGATGATCCTTTGGCGCTGAGGCCAGCATGGCAATTCTAAAAGGGTTTCAATTCAGCTCTAGCTAAGGTGAAGTTGAATTCTACCTGGAATTGGAAATGTATTCAGCTCCAGTTACACTAAGATCCTTTCATCTGGCGCTGGACGGCTGTCCATAGATAGCAGACATGCGAAACGAAATACCTAAATTTGAATCGAGATCTCTTCATAGTCATGATAGCGTCATAAAATTACTGTTCCCTTAGTAACGTTGCGAGGCAGCGAGCCAATGGACTTTGATGCTAGATACATACTATCATTTCCGTTTGCATTCGCTTTCCGCGTCAGTTCATTTTTCTACTTTGCAGGAGGTGGAGGAGAAGCAGTCCTGCACTCTTTAGGAACAATGCGATCATACATTTTATGCTAGGAGCAGTAACCTTCATTCCCATTTTTTCACGAGAACATAGAGAGCATTTTAGATAATCCTCCGCAATCCTCTCTATTGTGAAAGTGCGGCATTCTTCACATTCTTCACTTCACAAAGGGCATGAGAAATCGTGCATCCTTCGGATTTCCAGCCATTTTGATGCGCCGCCACTCTCTCAATTGAGGTCGCGTAAGACTGGAGAGTTTATTTAGATCGTTCGCACGATTTCGCTCCGAGTCGTACGCCAACTCGCTCGCTTGCAAAATCCGCGCTAGCTGATCGCGTACCTCCGTTTCCAATTTAGAAATTGGGGGAGTGAACTTCGTCGGCACGCTGCTGAAATACATACAAAGCGGGAAGTTGATAACTCTGTTATATATAAATATACTTCAGATCGATGTTGCATAATGTAAGTTCGAATTGACGTCGCCACGTTCTGTAATAAGCGCTGTTGCATCCGTCTGAGGCTACGCTTGTAAGTTTGAGGTCGATTAGACTTCGGCTCCAATGGAATCAACTGCGGCCTGTTCGCCATAAATGCGCGAAACGCATCTAAATCTGACATCATCGCTTCACTTTTCAGCGCCCCGTTGTGTGGAGCTCCTGCACCTCCGGCACCGGGGGGTCGTTGATAATCCGAATAATTCAAGTGTGGATCGCGTTCGCTGGGATTTAGGCCATCTGACGCGACAGATTTGCTGGACGACGCTGCGCCGCTCCCCGAAGAGCCATATGGTGGCCCATGACGCCTAAAAGATGCCTTTTTCCTCGGATTTTTAGGTTGTGACGCGCCTCCGCGAGGATGCGATTGCGTTTGGCCACCTGATTTCAGCTGAGACGCGTCGCCATGGTCTACCTGATGATGGTGTCGAGTGATCACTCAGGGCCGCCTCTATTTTTAGTGATGAGCTCGCTCGCCCGTGAAGATTCAAATTCGGAAGAAGACTGTAGGCTGTACTACAACATTTCTTACCATTGCACGTGCCTGCTGACCACCATCGGGAACCGCTGTAAGTGAGAAAGTTGCGAACTCGTCAGTCCCTTCAACACGCTGCTGCTGCATGGCGCCGTCCCCGTCCTGATCCCCATAAAAATCATCTTCATCAACCCCGACTCCATACAACCCTACGGCATCCGCATGGTGCTCTTCATCTAGGTAGTAGTCATGACCATGAACATGATTTCCGTATTCTAAGTCCGACAAGCTACTAGGAGCAAACGATCCGCTTTGTTGTTGATGGAGGTGCTCGGCCCTCGTGCCGAAGCCCGGTTCAGTTGCCCAGCAATCAGGATTGTCTCGGTCTATCTGGCCATCTAAATCTTCCTCGTCCACACGAAGAACAGGCGGGTTTTGTTGCTCATGTTCTTGTCCATGTGAGGTACTACCCTGTGATATTGTGCCTGTCATTAGCATATTGTCGCTCACGACACCTCCAATAACACTCGACACTGACCCCCTGCGGCTCGCAGCCCGACTTCGTGCGATCGATCCTATGGCGACGTTGTGAGTGACGAATGTCGGAGCGGCTTGTGGCGGAGTCACGTTTCTCCCGTTTTCTTGGATTGCAGTCAGCTTCGTATCGACTCCGCCTGCATGCCCAGCATGTTTGCCACGTCCACCATTTTCTCCAGGAGCAGCCTGCTGTTTCTCTCGAGCTTTGGCTTCGGCCGCATCAACTCGACTCTGACGCCGCTTCTCCCGTTTCTCCTCGTATTCTTGTGCCTGCTGTCTCTTCTGTCGTTCCTTCTGTGCTTCCACCTGAACCTGTTTACGTCGAAACTCCGAGTTCTTGCGCTTGTATTCTTGCGCTTGGAAGTTCCTCACGCTACTTTCGTGCTCTCGAGGAGTCGTGGGCGCAGCACCGCCAGCATTAACTGCGCTTGTTGAGGCAGCGACCCCTTGCCCTTGATGATGCTGTGGTGCTCTCTTGTTCGTGACACCTCGAAATTTATTTCGATTCCTCGCTTCGCTGAGCGAAACAGAAACGGCCTGTGCGGCATCTGCGAGTCGGACGTTTGGTGGAGGCCTGCTGCTCGCAGGTGCCGCTATTGAGCTACCACCAGCACCACCGGTCGTAGTTCCATTTAGGGTTGCCGAACCGGGCGTGGCTGTCGGAAAGGCGGAGACGAACTCTTCAACGCGGACAACATCTTTGTCTCCCACAAAGCGACCCGCAAAGTTCCGCCACATCCTCTTGGGCGGCAGCCGGCTCAACCTTCTAGAGGGCTGACATTTTCTTATTTGTGTATGCGGCCTGCCGGTCCAGAACCTCTTCCTTGTGGGTAGTTGTGGCCGCAGGCACTCAATGTTATCTTTCAAGGTAGCACCGTAGCTGTAGTTACTTTTCGCAGCACAAAAACACGATGCTCATCGTGGAGAAAAACACGTATCGTTGACAAGCTCTGAGAGCGTCGATGACCCAAGAGGGGGGACAAAAAAAAATGTGTTCGGAACACAGTAAGTTTGATCTGCAGATGCACTAACTTTCAGTGCATAATCTTATTTTTTCACTTCTCCAGGGCGTGGAGTCATTTGGAGCAAAAGTTTAGTTACAACTTCTTATTCTTTCTGCACACTATCCTGCAGGAAAGCCTCGTTTGCGGCCTATTTTCACGTTTCAATCAGAAGCAACCTTAATCAGGTGAGTAAACTTAATTTGATATCGTTGTAGTTGAGAATCGATACGATCGACTGATACAAAACTCTTTGTTCTGTATTGTATGGGTCACAGCGCGACAACACTAACAGTTAGGTGGATAATCATGACCATAATAATATGTAATATTAGTAGTAGTAGTACTAATTTCAGAGTAGCTAGTGTAGGTGAGTGTCCTCCTCCTCATACCCACAATGAATCGGCTTTGCCTACCTGTGTGCCTAGGCGTGCACCAGACCGAATGTCTCCCACGTCGTGGCAACCTGCATTGGGGGCTCGCCGCCCTTTCCGAGACCAGTATCCAACGGCTTTACTTCCTGCGTGTATGCGCCGAAGACCTGAAGAAACGTTTTCCGCTCGTGTTGTTCGATTTCCATCTGAAGATGACCTCTAACTTTTCTCTTGACGATCATGTTGACGATGGCGCATTCGGATTGCTGCTAGACCTAGCTTTTTATTATCGGAGCATGAGAGACCTTGAAAAACAGCCACCATCAACACCAAGCAGATATAATCATAAGTGGTGTTATTATATTAGAGTTTCTGTACCTCGTAGTCGCCGTACACGAATTTGCCCTCTCCGCATGGTTTCTGGCTCACAAATCTGCCCTCGAAAAGTTTGTCGCCTTCGGGTGTGAAGACCCACTGACCTGAGAGGGTTGCAGAAAGTGGCAGTGAACCTTTGTTACGTTTATGAGCAGGCGGGCACTCTGTTCTTGTTCAAGCTCTAGAAGTAGGAGGCAGAATTGACAAGAACTGTTCCACAAGGGAGCAGACGGGAATTGATTCAAACAAAACGTACCGCTCTCGATTTGTCCGTCCTTCCATATGCCGTCGTAGTAATACTTCGATCCTGCAAAAACGTAGAAGCCCTTCCCTGATTTCTTCCCTGCCTTCCATGTGCCGGAATAGATGTCCTTATTCGCGTACACAAATGTCCCTTCGCCACTCCTTTCGCCGTTCTCAAAATGGCCCGAATATGAGGCACCTGGAAGGAAAAGCAGTGGGCGTGCTGAAAGTAGCGAAAGCCTTTGATGCGCTCCCGTCGGTTTTGCAGGAAGTTCTTCTTGACGAGTACTACGGGGACGGGGTATTACGACACTTCTGCGACTAGCAAGCCGAGAAGTCAAACTTGAAATCTGACAATGCTGTATGCTGATGTAGTGAACAAAAAGTAAGTACCACTAGCATAGGTCATCTTTCCGAGGCCTGTTTTAGCATCGCTATCATATGACCCTTCGAAAACGTCGCCGTTGAGATATGTGTATTTGCCCTGTTTGAAGTTCCATGATGAGTCGGAATCATGAGCAACGCCTGGCTTTCGATTATTATTATTAGGAGAAGGGTCGACGCTACCCACAGACCTACAGACGGCCAAAAGGCGGAATCTGAAGCACAGCGACGCGCTAGGCAAATGCAGGAGAGTCCTAACAAGAGGCGCCGCTGTCCGATGCTGATTACTAAAAAGCATGATATGTTGAAGTCATATGTTGACTTCAAAACTGTCTGCGAGAATGAAAAGGAGGAAAAAGAAGATTAATGAACGTGCATCTATGTATCGCATTCAAAACTCCTGATGGATCCTAGTTCATGTCCACTTCTGTTACCTCGCCATGCTTCTTTCCGTCGACGTACGTTCCTACGAAAACATCGCCGTTTGTGTACTTCGCTGTGGCTTCACCTGAAAACCCCCAGGAGTGCGGTAATTCTGGATCGCCGTTCGATGGCGTCAATGAGTACGCCGACGGCAGCTCCACCTCGTCACCCATGATACTTCGGTTTGTATTACTGTTACAACTCAGAGACAAGAAACAATGTTCCAAAGAATAGCTAATAAATGCCCTCTACCTGAAAACATGGTCAATTTTTTTGTTCTTCCTGGTTTCGTTGGTATGACGAGGGTACTGTTCGTATTTTTCAGGTCAGTTTTGCAACAGGGTATCCACTTCATCCGGGAGGGGCCATAGTGTTTTGGTTTTCAGAGTAATTATTGGCAATTGGCAGCTGCAGTCGCAGTGGGAAATGATACTAGCGTGCGGGGAGAGAACGACGGAGGTAGCTAAGAACGCAAGCATGATGGAGGAAGAGTGGGGGGCACCGTAGTTTTCGAGACTTAACTCACGTTTGGTCAGCCGGTCGGTCTCTCATGTCCGATTCACTTTAATAAAACGAGCAGCAGCTCTCAACAAGTCTACTAGCAGTTGCAGTCGACGCTCAGAAGTCACTCGAAACTGGTAGCGATGCAGGCATGTGCAGATTGTGCAAGATTATTTTCAACATCGGCCTCTTTTTGACAACCAAGTGTTTCCTCAACGCGCCCACGATAACGAAGTCGCGAAGATGAAGACCACGATCAGCAGCTCAAGCGCGAGACGCAACAAGGACCGCCCCAGGCGACAGAGCCCACTACTGCACTACCAGAACGAAGTAGCTGCAGGTGGCACATTTATTTTTTGTCAAAACTTCCAAAATAGATATAGGACAGGATCGATTAACCAAAGTTCTAGGCGTTTCTTTGTATTGTCTATTGCGTGATTGTTCTTCGACTTCCTTCAAGTGCGTCGCCAGTACAGTTTTTAATTGTTAAAATGCAATCACCGCATGCGCATCTGACTACCGCCATATATACAATCTATAATTGGACAATAGCACTGTCTTGTCAGCAAGACATTCACCAAAAGAATTGATGATACAATATTTATGTTCACATCATATTGAGGCTTCCTCTACGACCTTCTACCCCGAAGATATAACTACAACTAGTCCTTCTGCATCTGGAATACATAGGCTACTCGTAATACAACGAACAAGCAGGTACAAAGGAGAGCCCTCCTCACTTTTAATGATGATGTACTATGTGATTTCATAGCTCGTCTTTCACCTGTAAATAGTTCACTCTAGCCAACATAACTACATTCACACACACAACGGAGAGGAGTTGTAAATGCTACCACATCACTGAAGAGAGTGTATGAGTTTCCGCCAATTATATTGCTTACCCGACCTGCATCCGCGCTAACACTCTCAAAGATAAGTTGCCGACTCGGTTGTAGTTTCCGAGGACATTCATGTATGCCGTTGGGTTATGTGCATGGGAGAATATTATCCGAATCCGCCTTTGATTTATGCCAGAGCGCAATAACTAAAAAGTAAGAGTGTAGTAGCTTCATGCTAAAACCACCGAAAATTTATCTTAGTTGGGGCAGGAATGGCTAACGCAAACCCAGAGATATTGATAGGATCCGATTGTCACTGATGACATCAAGGGTCATGTTGTCATCTATGAAGATGCTTGATTACATGATCAGACCTACGTGCGTTTGAATTACGTTTGAAGAATGAATCTACGTGCTAACGATAAGGCCCTAGACGCTGCGGCTCATCTCCAGGTGCATCGCTCCCGTCGAAGTGTGTGTCAATGAGGTGAACGTGTTGCTATAGCTATATGGTGTTTGCGACAGGTGAAAGGATTGAGCTATTTAACTAGGTAGTGCTCAAGTTCGAATTCGTATCGCAGAAAGTAAATTTTGAATATCTAGTAAAGCAGTGCATCTGTCGCAGATGACTGCAGTCTTTTATTGAAAAGAATGAAGATATTAACATCAACAATTTGATAATACTGAATTTTGAATGCTAGTTTTTCCTGGAAATAGTGAAGGATCATAGTCCTCGTTTGGAACCAATACATTTTTTCGAAGATAAATAGAATCTTGAATTTTTATGACAAAGAAATGTTGCGCGAAGAAAATATAAATATTACGTGTAATTATATGAACAGCCCAGTAATACAAGAACGCGGGTTTTTAATTATTATGTCATCCTATCGTGTGTAGTGCTTTTCAATGGAAACAACAACTTGATAATCGTAATCCAAGGTGAAGAATTTTGTTCAAAACAAATCGCTTGAGTCTCTACGTTCCTAAATAAGTCGCATCATTTTCGTACTAACTACATATATGTGGCGTTCGATACCTCCCTCCAGCGTCCTTTTTTACATTTGTAAGTCTAAGTGATCATAATATTGAATTATTTTTACAAGAGTAGCATAATAATAATATCGCATTTTTCCATTCGAAATTGTACAAGTAGAAGATAGTTCCTTCATGATTTCGGCATGTTCATTTACTCGATGACTGCAGCCCAATTTATTTGGTTCGTTTCATAATTGTAATTTGTATCGGAAATAGTCAACAAGAATCTCAATTAGTCAGTTTGGAACGAGTTAAGTTAATTAAGAAGTTCATTGTCGCAATGTGTAAGTATCTTAACGTTTCCACAGTACTGACCCCGAGTCGGAATCGAAGCCCTTGTCTTTAGGTTTCTTCTATGTCACGAGAGCCGTCGCCTCTCCTCTGTCGAAAAAGGAGAACGCACCCCTCCGTGACTTTCGTTGTTTGAGATTTTTTGTATTAGAGCCGCCGAAACGAAGTTCTCGAGCTTGAGGCACCAGGAGGAGCAGGTACAGGACCGCATTAACATCAAGGATAATAAGTAGTTCGTACGCAAGAACAAATGTCCGTGGAAACAAATTGTAAGTAAAAATCACGATTCCTATTTGTCATGCTAGGTGAGGTATTGCTTCTATTCACAACGCTGTTTCATAACTTACACCTCCTCAGTGAGGAGTCTGCTAACCGATACGCCCATCGAGACGCAACGAGTGTACTGCAGGATGAAGTCACCCATGAGCAGAATCTGGAAACCCTGCACAATGAGGACCCAATAGCCGATGAAGTACTTTGACGGCAGGTGTCGAGGATCCTGCAGTTCGCTGAAACTGCTAGTCCAAAAGATAAAGTTTGCAACCTTCGACATAACCTGCGCTGCTAGGAAATGCGCAGTCCACGGGTGAACCTTTGGTATGTAGTTTAGTTTTGTTTTGTGTAGTTGTAGTGAGGACGGCTTGGTCCTCCAGTTAGGTTGTTGAGTTGATAGATAGAGATTCTAGCAGAAAATATTTTTGAAGATACAACGACAACGAAAAACAGATACAACTACAGTAGTACAGGTACTTACACAAGAAGAGTACCTTGCCTTCCCTTTGGAACATGAAAAGCTGTGGGAGACTCGCTAGAGACTCCATGTACAATGCGAAAGCCCAGCAAATGTCAGAGGGCGTGAATGCGTTCAGCTGTGGATGCAGAACGAGCGATAGCACTAGCGCTGGTGCAATAAGAAACCTGGGTCGGCACGGAATTTTTGCAGTCGGAGAACGACACTTTACTAAGGATCGATGGTGATGTCAGCGTCAGTGAACAAGTAGGTTCATAGAAGATCAAACACTGACGTCAAAGACATATTAGTTTCAGAAAAACTGCATTCAAAATTGAATGAGTTACGGCATGATGGATGCAATAAGGGATGTTGACGTTCTACCTAGTATCGAAAGTGTCCATTTCGGAGGCGTAGGTTTCTGGGTACTGGACACGGCACAAGTAAACGATACTTCCCGCGAAACAGAACGTCATGGCTTCGACGACTTGATAGCTGGGATGAGAGATTTTGGTCGTGGAGGTAGGAACGCTGGACGCATCCTCCAAAAATGCAACTGCAAACTGCCCCAGATACATCTAACTTGTTAAATATCAAGTAAGTAGGTAAAAACGACCCGTGTTGATCAATATCAAAGGGACGAATCCCAATAAGACCTTCAAGAAGAACATCGTCATTTCCATCACATGATTGACAAGAAAAATCAATGAAGGTAATTATACAACCAATCTCCGCTTTTGTCGAACGGCAGGTAGCCTTCGAAGGGGATTACTGCGCACAGACGCGCGAACTGTAACAGAAGATAGATCTCTAACATTTTCACGGATACGCCCTGGCAACTCTTGTGTGTCTCCACCCACGCGCACATCATCAAAAACGAGCACATAGATATCTGTGGATTCGGTTGTGTGTAACAAGATCGTTTTTGGTATTGCGGTGAAGTTCCTGTTTGGTGCTATCACTATGATATTTCTGTCGCCGCTATCACCTTAAAAATGCGTGCCGTAGTTTTCTGGATGAAGATTGAATCATTATAACTACTAAAGGACGAAAATACTTTATATTCCGTATAGTAAGTGTAAAACAAAACGGAGTATACCAAACTAGCAAGCGTGAGCGTGAAGGAGAAATCTCCGTCCGAGATGAGCACCCAACTTGCGAAGATAGCAAAAGCGAAGATTCCGTAGATGCGAATCTCAGCTCTGTACTTGGTGAAGAAGAGCTGCATCTTGTCTCCATCATGCCAGCTTCGTCTGAAGTCGTCGTGTTTTAGAGAAAAGACCAGGAAATAAGGACATGCTCCTGGATGTAACTCTAACTTTATCTTTTTCAAACACAGAGGACAAGGATTGAATTATTGCTACAACGAAATACAAAAGACCTGTCTGTGTACAGCGATGGCTCAATTATACATTCCACAAAAATGAATTGGCCATAATACTACGCTGACCTGCGTTTTGCTTCCTGGGAGATCGCTTGGACTAGGTACTTTCCGAACGGGCGAGCCTGCCATCCTGCTAGCACCACTTCCTGGGCCCAACCTATCTGCGCTATAGGGATGGTCTTCAGGCCGCATGGTAGCAGGCGGCGTTGTTCCGAAACCTGTCTTCATCTTTGCGGTCCGCTGATGTTCCAAATATACTTGTTGTGCGTCGTGTTAGAACAAACACGAAGTAAAAGAAGCTACTAGATTTCGCGCTTCTTGTTCTGATTGGCGAAGTAATGGATGTTCTCCTCGACTTGAAGGTGCTGTGATTCTTGTAGAAGTTGTAAATGTGCGCGAAGTTAAAAAAAAGGGAAATACCTTGCTGGTTGGATTACGATTTCGCTACTCGGAAGATGGAGGGACTTCCACTTTTATCGGTAGTACTAGTACTGCTAGAAGTATCTTCTGGTAGTAAGACAGTACGATGGATCATGAAGAAGAAGATGTCGACTTGATTTAGGAAGGCCAATATTGATGGTTCTCCGTCCAAGAAATGTTATTGGCAATATGTGGTTTTGTTGAATATGTAGTTGCACAAACACAATAGGGAACTGCCTCTGTTCTCTGATGTGATTTTGGTACAGGAGGGTTGTGTGATGTGGTAGGTGGATGTTTTTTACTTTTATGACAAAGTAGTGTGGTAACAATATGGCGTCTTGGTCGCTGTATAATTTTCTCCTTTGTTTGATCTGAGGAATATGATGTTGAGTCTTCGTCTACTCCTTGATGTTGCACTTCTTGACGTCGTAGCCGCTCTTCTCTGGCTTTTCGTCTGCCTAAGAGAGCTGTTCTCGAAGCGGTTTGAGGCTCCCGGTTCAGTGTCGCTTGATTCGTTTTCGCTTCAGGCGAAATGTTGATGTTTCATCTTTTTTCTTGTATGTAAGATGTTGAGATGACGTCGATTATAGTTTGTTTCTTAGAACCAACTACAACAACTCTTTTCGAATTTGAAGTGAGATATCGAAACACAAACACAGTCGTCTTCGCTCAGATTAGTGTTGAGAATTGCCTTAGGACAGACTTCCTCCTCCAAAGAGTAAAGACAAATTCAACTATGAGTTTTGTTTGTTTGAAATAAGGATGTGGATGAAAGAATGTGAACATAAAGAAGGGTCAGTGCGATAAGTGTGTGCGTGGGGGAGTTGAGAAACAACAAGGAGGGATATAGATAGCGAGAGACAGAGAGCGATACGTCGAGGGAACAAACGAGGGACAAACAATGGGAAAATGTAAATTACGAGATGCCGCTCGTGAGAATTCCTGTTTGGCTGTCACTGTCAGTCAAATAAAATATGGCTCGCGCTCGTTCTCTAATACTGACTCCAGCAAGAACTACTCCTCAAGGGCGACACTCGTCGTCAGATTCACAAGAACGAGCGAAGAGGATCCGAATTCGAGAGAATGAAACGACATCTCACTCAACATCAACTCGTAGACGTTACTCTAGTTCGTTGTACTCACATCATTTGAGTTCTGGTGGTAGTTCTGCTACGTGTCTCTCTAAGAATGTGTAAGAAGATGTCCGAGAGGTGTTTGGTGGATGATCTTTGTGCTTAGGTGGGATCTGAACATGAACGCGGCGCTCACACCCATGTCTCGTGAGCAAGCAAAGTAGACGAACTCGCAATTCGCAAAGCATACCTAATTAAACTAATATAACACAAATAATTATATAATTGAAAAGGCCATCCCAAGCAGATGCTTCAGCCCTTGGCGTCCCACCCCTAGGCACTCTGGTGGAAGTGCACTGGGGTGTGTGTGCTCGCACTGACTCTCGTTCCTGACACGACCAAGGGTACCGGTTCACCATGCGAGTATCTACATCTAGAGCCAATCACATCCAACCCCCGAGAACCAGAAAATGACAAGGCCATTAGGCTCGCACTAGCAAGCTACTCAAGACGAGAGGAGAAGCAGAAAGCGGCGAAGAACAAAACCATTAGTTACTGTACCCACTCGTATCTCACTCTCGTACTTGATCACATAGGGACCTCAAGATACAGAAATGAACGAGAGATGTACGAATTGACGAACAACGAAGAGTCAGAAGCGACACCCGAAACTAGCTAACTCAACAGAAGTATGTGTCAAAGAAACTACTCAACACTCAGACGACCAGATCTACAACTCAGAATCACTCCGATCGAACAGCCTACAATTCAGAAGCTCACCGAACGAACAGTCGTATGCCGAAGACTCCGAAAAACACCTTTCAAACGACCGAGCCGATTAGACAGACGTCGAGCTCAACACTCGTTGGGCCACGGAATCACCCGTTAACAGTTATTCACGAGACAGATCGAATGGAAGTAGATCGTGACTTAAGAGAGAACAACGGATAGTGAAGCATAGCAGAAAGCTTAGGAGGAGGGACTAAGATACCTGGTTTGGAATTGGATTCCGTTCAGGAGAAAGAATACTGTATCGGTGCAGGTTACTCTCCTGGTCCCGCACCGTGAAAAACTCTAATATAATGTCCACCTCGTTCTCGATCTTGCAATATCACCATCATCGAAAACAAGACATCACAAGATTCATCAGATTATTTCAGTGTAGATGAGATAATATTACATTCCTTTTTCAGACTCAACTGTCCTACTGCTCGTACCCGTCACATATTTTTGCCTCCTACGCTTCATGCATCCAGCTTGGCACCACTCTATGTCCCGAGGATGGAAAACTCTTGCTACCTGACACGCTAAAGCGATGATCAGCCTGCAAAGAAGTGAGCCCATCTAGTTCCTCTTTATGCACGGGGAGAAAAATCCGTGAGCGAGAAGATCGTCACGTTTTTTAAATAAACTCGTTACCATTCTGAAATCGATTTATTGTTGTTGTTCATTTTTGGATATAGAGCGTTGGTTTGCGCAAACGCAAAGGCATTTTTCGTTTTCCCTCCAGGAGAAGAAGATAGTAAAGTCGATTTGTAGGCAAAGAATATCACGAGTGTATGGTCATGGAGATGGAATAGACCTCGGCCTTCAGCAGTAGCTTTGCTTTCTCTTCTGTACAGAGGCGTGAAGTGCCATTTTCACTCGTATAATTGAGGAAAGTTTATCGATAGTCAGAACATTGTACTTACTAGTCCTAGTAAATGTGTATGTGAATGTGTCTTTTGAAGAAAGTACTTAACTCGTATCATCAGTAACCAATCGTGACTAAACTTTGTTTCCTATATTTGCACCCAACTGTTGGTCGCGTTGGCAACACGACTTGGACTTTGCCGCATCTGCCCTGATCTGCGCCCAAAAAGCCGCAAATGTCACTGCTTGGTTCGCCTTCTTGGTGACTACGACAAAATAAACCACATAGGCAGCAAAACTCAGAACCAGGAAAACGGAAAGGATAATAGCAAAGATCGCGCCACCACTCAAGCCAGAATCGGAAGAAGATGTCGTGGAACCGGAAGACTGTTTGACGCAGGTTAACCCTGCAACGTTGTTGAGCGTCACCCAGGTCCCGGCATTGTAGTGCGTCATGTAGGCACTCTTGCACTGACAACGGGACTGGTCCCAGGTTGCTAGGGGCAAACCGGAACTGTCCTGTAGGCACTGCCCTCTATTCGCATGAGGGTCTTTGCACGTGCGGCCACCCCGAAAGATAACGTTGACCAAATTCTCAGACGCCTTGACGCTGGCCTCCACAGTTATCTGGTTACTGTTGATCACCTGAGTTGGGTTTCTGAGGCACACCTTCAGGTAGGGGCAGCAGAACTGGGAAGCACACTGGTAACCATAAACGCAAAGTCCGCCGACAGGTAGGATTAGACAACGAAATAGCTGGGCCGCAAGGCTGTAGTTGGCACAAAAGCAAGTGCAAGTGCTCATGTTGCCAACGACCACTACGTCGTGAGATAATCATTACAACAAGATGCTATGATGCGAAGAGGTAATAAATCACTCAGCACAGCGCTATCGTCGTGAAATAATCATCACAAGGCGCTGCGGTTAATAGCCAATCGGAATCGATCTTCATGCCGGCGCTGTGAAATAATTATTACACGCGGCTACGATGAACTAGAACTACAAATGACCATACTTTTGATGTTAGAATTCAATTTGCCTCGTAACAGTGGGGGTGAAGGTGTGCATGCTGATGGCAGATTCGCTGGATTGAAGCCTCCCGCTGTGCCCCTGCTTAGACCATCGTTGTATCCCGGAGTGTCTGCAGCCGTACCGCCGCATTGCGTCACCGGTTTAGTCGGTGCCGTCACTTTAGCCGAGAATTGCCCCGCAACGTTTCCGGCAGTGGCGTACTGGCAAACGTAGTAATTACCCGTCGTTCCGCTGAAGGTCGCCGTGCCTTTCCCACAGCCGATTTGCGTAGTGTCGCTCCAGATCATCGCAGTGTAGTGGCCAATCGCCTGCGACGCATCGGTCGTGTCCGTCATGCTGTCTGCAGTGCCATACGGTTCTGTATACCGAATTTCATCGTACCACGCTTTAGTTGCTTTTGCCCCAGTCATACTACTGCCGATCGCAAGGTTCTCGCCTAGCCTAGTTCCATCACCCAGCGTACGAAACGCCTGTGTGGAATGCTGGTAGGCGCCATTGTCGGCCCAAGATTGTGCTTTTGCTGCGATGTCCGCACTCCAGGACAGCAAGGGAATGTTGTGCATACACCGATAGATGTTGTGTTTGTCCAACATTGCCTGCAAGTCTGCATTTTGGGCACCAACGAGCTCAATCCCTTGAAAAGGGACGAAAAGCGATGCAATTACGATATGCTTGGTGACCGAGGACATGTTATTTTATCACTGAAGGAAGAACTGAAGTGGACGTTTAGGCTTATTCCAACTACTAGAAGTTCTAGTATTTGCGGAAGCAAGAAAATATTGAAAGCGGGGAATGTGAGTCATGATCCATTACAAGCAGAACACAAGGAGGAATGTCATATGATGCTGTCAGCTAAAATCGACAGCAACAAACTAGCAAGTTGTTTATCTGTCAAGGGAAAAACGTCACTTTGAAAGAAATGATTTGTGCATACTTACAACGCAGGCGCCAGAAGCATTCCTATGGTTTTTAGTGTAGAGGGGTACAAAGGCGCTACCTCAGGTCATTCTCAGGGAAGAGGCAACAGAAACGTACATGGAAACCTGCTTGCTCGTGTTTGATCATGATATTGATAAGACTTATCTATTGTTTAGCAGATGATCTGACAGATAATCTTCTATCCTTCGCGAAACAACAGATCTTCACGACTTTTACGTGCGTCGTCCTCTCATTCTGTCGGTAAAGTAAGCGTAGGCTTGAACAGACAACCATATTACGGAGAGATGACGGTTACAACCAGAATGAATGTAGCTCTCTACAGAATTGTGAAACTCGTTGGCGGGGTTGCCGGCTCGTGAGATTAAAAAGTAGTCATGCCTTTTAGTACGACTAGGTACAACCCTCTCTGGACGGGTAACAAAAATAAAGACTGTAACGAAGTGCGCACTTTCACAGAAGTTGCAACGCTCATGGAAATCACTTGTTTTTCCTTAGGTCTAGGAGGTGCTGTCGTATGTGTAAGCATTGGCGGGTGACACCGTACTACAGTCTTCGAATAATTATGATGGCTCATCCTGTATCAACAAGGACATGAAACCACAATTACACCTTCTTGGAGATGCTTAAGAATTCTGTCCTCATCAAGGGGGGCAACAAGTAGGGAGGTAACGTTCTCGTTCTCAATCTGTGCAAAAGAACATTTTCTGAAGTCGCGTTACTTGATCTCTGCCTTGCTGATTCGAGGTGAACAAATCGTGAGGGGCAATCTGTTCCATGAAGAGCTGGACACTGACTTTGTCGAAGAGCTGTCGTTCGGCAAAGGGTAGCCAGGAAAAGAGGGCGGTGAATGAGCGCAGCTCTGAACTTAAAAAGCCGAGCGCTGCTTCTCTTATTCTGACGGTTGCGTCATCTGATGTGGATGTCACGACAACGCTGTCGGATTCAGCCGCCTTCACTACTGCGTCCACACGGGTAGGCAGATAGATTCGATAAAACGAGTCAGTCAGATGGTCGACCATCAAGTTTTTGAGATCGTCAATGCCACGCACGGCTTCGAGATCAGCCAATGTGCCTGATAAGCCGCGAAACAAGTTAAGAAAAAATAGGGCAACGCGCAATAGTGCAGCGCCAAGACCAAAGTCAAGTCGTTCTTCATCTTCGTGCGCACCACCTTGCAAAACCTGCAGACCCCCTTTCACTAAGCCGCCTGCGCGCCGCACCAAACCTCTAGCACGACCTCCACTTTGTCGCTGTGCACCAGAATCTTCCGCTAATATATCTTCGCCATCTTCGTTCGCTTCGTGTCTGCCACGTGACACGTCTTCCTCGCTCGCAACTACCCGTGAGTTCCACATGTGCTTCAGTTGGTGCGTCACCGCGTGCTGCACCGCAGACCCAAAGGCATCTTCGAGATACCGACTACGCGAACGCTTCATGCCGCCTACAACGGGGGTCATGCGATCAAGTGCTGCGCGACACAGCTGATCGAGAAAGGCGCGCTGCTCCTCTATCTCTGCTAGAATTTCCTTGCCTCGACCTTCTTCCTCGGCGTCGGTTTCTGCGGTAGAGGATCGCGGGCGCCGGCCATCAGACCTCACACGAGACGCGACAGTTACAGGCCCGACCGTGTCAGCAGAAAATGATAGTTTTTCTGCGGTAAGCTTTTGCTTCTCGTCGACTAAATCTACCACGTCTCGGACGGCCTGAGCGAATTTGTCGGAGAGGAATTCACGGTCGAGCTCCAGCCATCGCGAGAACAGGCGACACGAATCTTCACCAGAGGGAAGAATTACAAGGAGATCTTCTGCAATGTCGCGGCAGACCTCTGTGTTGATGAGGGATGCCGCAAAGCGCTCCGCCTCGTGAGTAACGTGTAAGGGTGGAGGAGCAGGGGTAGAGGGTAAGGCGGACTTGGATGTACTCGTGACTGCGGTTATCAGATCGAGGTAGAGTGTCCTCACGTCGCTGCGCAGCGTCTGCAAGAACGCGCCAAGCTCCTTGATGAGGTTCAAGAAAAGCGCATCGTTGGCGATGAAATGCGGATAGTTCGTACGCAGGAACAGCTGAATTCCTCGGCGAATGGTCTCACGAACTAGACCCTCGAGAAACTCACTCATTGGCGCCAGCAATTCGGATGGTGAGGACGATTGACCGTCTGCCTGCTGGTGTTGCGATAGTCTCTGCGACCTTCGACGGACCCACGAGAGAAACAATGAGAAATTATCCCGCAGTAAATCTCTGAAGTACCGGAACGCCCAGTCAGGACGGTCGAGTCGCGCAAGCTCGGAGTCCGGTCGGGAGAAATGATGGTGGAAAATCCGTGTCATGGGCTGAACAATCAAACCGTAAAATTCGGATTCAAGTGCAGCACTTGATGAAGTTGGAGGTGTTGTTCCTGCCCTCGCTCTTTTGCTCGTGCTGCTCACAGCCGCCACAGTCTTACTTGCGCCCAACTGCGATCCTCGAGAGACGCCATTGATCTTATCTCGGTGTCCGCCAAACGCAGAAGGACCTCCAAAATTGCGAGGACTGAGATTCGGGGGTGAAATCATACCATTCTCCTCATGGTTGTCGCGCCTTTGTGGGCTTCTGCCACCCGACGGTTGGTTGTGCCTCGTCGTCGTGCTCTGCTCTCGGTTTGGAGGGGACAATGAGGAAGAGTTTTCGAAGGACCGCAGCACTAGGCGGAAGCTGCGATGCACCGAATACGATGTCCACACCTGATTCCACATAGGATACGCACTTTCACTTTGCTGATCGATTTCTCGCAGTCTAGCAAGTTTTTGCTCATCGTTGCCTTGGCCATCTTCTGACAACGGGGATCCCACTTTGTCCCCATCCTGTGAAGCCCCCAAATGCTGCAGCTTCGCCGGCCACGCGTGTCGGTGTTGCGCAACTGCGGTTGCGACTTCGGTCATGAGAGTCTGCTTTAACGGAACAAAGAGAAAGGCTACTCTCTGAGCGCAGCATGCACGAGCCCGTGTGGGCAGACGTTCGCATACCTTTGCAACGCGATCAACTAGTGTCACCAGATCGGCTGAACCACGCTCGAAAACGAGGTCTTTCAGTTTCTCAGTCGTCTGCAGCATCTCCAACACGTCGCTCAAGTACAGTTGCCGTCTCCGCTCCAAAGCCAGTTTCGCAGTTTCTGCTTGAGGATACACCTTCTGCAGGCGCGCTTCCGCGTCCCCGAGTTGCACTAAAGCTCGCCGCAACTGGAGGTCGTGACGTCCGTGACTGTCATTAACGTCTACATCGAGTAGCATTTCTGATCGAATGCTTTCGGCCAATGAGGCTTGGAGTTGTCGGACTTTGTCGTCGGCGTCGGTCAAAGAGCGTGTCGTCGCAGCAATCTTGTCCTGCCACGCTTCCAGCGACTGTGGAACGCCTGAATTTGCACCCCCGAGTGCAGAAGACAGATACGCTGCTCGAGCTTCATCGTTCACGACTATGGCGTCTAAAATGCTGGAGACTGCTGAAGATGAATCGTTTTGTGCGGGCGCGTAAAGGTCTGCACAACCGCCACAAAAAGGGTCTTCTTCGTCGAGGATAGGTTGCAGGGGCAGATCTTCTTCATCCGTGGCTTCTGCGCTTCCATGATCGTCTCCAATAGGCGTGGGAAGCGCCGCCCCTCCGTCTAGTAGTCTTGGCAAAGCCTGTGCACGCTTGCGCTGTAGATTGGCCAATACGAGTTCCAACTCGCGTTTTGTGGCTTCGAAGTCTAGTATCCCCGCCCCCTGTTCTGAGTCGCGAATATAACCACGCTGTTCCAACTCAAGGCGGGTTGGTCGGCCGCGCGCAAGCCAGTGGTCCATCTGACCTTTCGAGCGAAAACGTGACCCACCACGGCTATCATCGCCACGACTTGCCTGTTCGATCAAACGACCCAGCCACATTTTTCTGAATGAGTCCCAGTCCTTCTCGTATCTAATATTGTGAAATAATTTTTATTATGCTCATCGAGAGTAAAAGCGCATCATGATGATATCATCGAGCTCGTCATCAACTAATATAGCTCCGCGAACTACAAGTAGTCTGGTCGACTTTCAATTTCATTTCATATCGATTAAGACATTTGAATTGATGAGGAGTCGTGGTTGATAGTAAACAGTCCTGTCGCGGCCTAGAAATGGGCTGAGATGAAATAAAATTAACAGCTGCGCAGCGAAAAATGCAGATCATTGATGGGTTTCGCTTGGGATCAGACGGCGCAGTTGCAGAACTAGAAGATGGCGTCGGAAAATGATGGTGAACACTACAGCTGGAGATACTACTACATCAAGATAATTCGAAGAGAAGAAACAAAATACCCATCGATAATGTTATTTGTTCCCAGCATCGCAGTCGTATGAGATTCCTTTGATTACAATTCGTTATTTTTTTCACGCAAAGGAGCATCAAATCAATTTAGCGCAAGTCCAAATCGTATAAGAATAAAATTCATTTTCGTCAAGGTAGATGCGGCGCTCGCAGTGAAAGCTCCTGCGTGCTTCACTCTCGTTGTCAAGAAGCAACTCGGCAAAAATGTATCCCCATCCTGTAAACTATGGTGGTGATAACAATAAAACAACGTGAACTACATCACAAAATTGGATAATACACAGGTTCATTCATTTTTGGTCTTTAGATTTCATTCAGTCAAGTAGAGTCTGATTTTGGCCTGAGATCTGAAATGAAAAGGTCCAGGTTTCACGGATCACTGGCTGCCGTCGAGTTGACGCTTTCCCGAGCTGCATGCGCATACGCATTCACGTCCGGGCTTGGTGCAGGAGGAGTTCTTGAAGAAGGGTCTACATCCGACGCTAGTGGGTTTAGCACAGGAGCTGCTCCTTCGCCGAGCAGGCGCTCCCCGGGTGGAGTTGATGTGTTCTCGACTAGGATATTGGTGTTTATTACTTGTGAAGGATTCCTGTGCTCGTCTTTAGTAGAATAGCTTGTCGTGTTGGCATGTATTTTAACCGAGGGGTCGATGCTGTCCGGCAGCCCTCGTAGTTTTCCCAGCAGCATGACTAGACACAGGAGGAGCTTGGCTGTCGGCGTCCAACTGCCTGAAAAACTGCATTCCCTTGCGAGGTTCACTGCGCTTCCGCCGCCTAGGCTTAGCCCGACAGTGCCATACGCTGACACAATTTCGTAGAGGAACTTGAAAAAGACGTTGTAGCGATAGCTGTCTGCGTCGCCGGCGTCCGATGCTTGACGGAATCGGTGCCGTTCGGCTAAGCAAATGGAAAAGGTGAGAAGCAAGAGTGCCGATACATCTTGGCCAAGATAGTGCCAAGCTTGTGCTCGGATGCTATTGGGTTCGACTGTGTCGTCCTCGACACCCTCCGCCTTTCCCGTAATGTCTATTTCAGAGCATGAGCCACTAGTTGAGCTAGACGCTACAGAGGAACAAGATGATGATGCAGTAGCAGTGCTCACGAACGTTGAGTTATGATCTTCCTCTCTGGTGGTTCGGTTAAAACTAGAAATCGTCGGGTCAGGAAGGTAAATAGTGTTGAGACCTCCGGTACGCGGAAATTCGTCCCCAGCTTCATACGAAACAAGAGTCATAGGTGTTGAGACAACACTGCTAGAAACCGAGGCGGAACTCTGCAAAAGTAGATATCGGTCTGCATGATTATGATTTTGTCTTTCTGTTTGCGATGAGGTCGTAGAATTTGTTGTTGGTCCGGACACTAGTTCATCGCTCTGACAAACTGCACTATCTGCAGTTCTTGCTACAATGTCTGTGGTAATACTGCTACTGCTTTCTATCGGTGACCACACTGCGCCGCTTAATGAAAAGGTGTCGCTGCGCGAACTACCTAAATCGCCAGTCATGGTTGTCGCGGTTGGTGAAAGCTGCCACTGGTCATCATGCCAACCATTTCCAGTCCGTGGTTGTATTTGAACGGCTTTAAGTTCCGCAAGCTTTTGTCCTCCTGATTTAGTAAGTGCTTTTTGTTCTCCAGGTGAGGTATACTCGTTCACCATCGAGAAAGCATTTCCTGGCATCGGCACAGAATCAAGCAAAACTTGCTGCTGTTGCTGAAGGAACGCCTCTCTCGCCTCATTGCAACGTGCACGAGCACCACGGGCCCTGTAACGGCGCCCAGATGAAAAAGCGCTTCTCTTTATTCGGTCCGACTCTCTTACTCTTGTGCGGCGCATCACGACTGTGGTTGGCGATGCGGCTATATACATCCAGATGCACAGAAGAAGATTGTTAGCTAAGCACAGATCCCTCAGCGGCAACGCTGAGAAACCGGCTGTCCGCGTCGCGAAGGCCTGGAAGAGACATGTCCACATGTCGTAGTCGCCGGCCTCGAATATCAGTATACTGACAGTGCACGTGGTGTTGAGGGCAAGCACGGTGAGAAACAGCCACACAGTGTGCACTTGTGGAAAGAGATGAGTAAACACTCGTCGTGGGTGCTTGAGCAGGAACGCTACTGCGCGTTTTTCTGTGCGTGTCGAAGATTCCAGCGGTGCTACAACACTGTCCGAGGAAGATGTGGACGGAGGTGGTCGTAGTTGATTTGTAAGATTGGCATTCGCAGCAGAGGACGACGGAACTGTGCCTCCCTGTGCTGTCCGGGCATCCAAATACCAATGCAGCACCAGTAGGTACCATCGTAGCAGCACCGGGAACATTGTATTCCCTGCTAAAATCAGTCCGCCCGCAGTAAGGAGAAACGCTCTTGGATACCCGAGCATCGAGTTCTCGCTCAGCGTCAAGCCGTTATTGCAAAATGCCGAGACAGCTGCGTAAAAAATTGTCCTCCACGTTCCGTCTCTTGGAGGCAAGTCGTGACCATTGTGGGTATCCGGTGCTAAATGATGATACGACACGTAGAGCAGTGCGAAGCCGCCAAGCATGAAGACGACACAGTACAGGATCGTGACGCGGATGATAACGCCCAATGCGAAATACTCTAAAGGGTAAGCTGGTGGAGGTGTCGAGACCATCTCCTCTACCTCTGATTCGAGCACGTGGCTATCATGCGTTGCACGAGTGCTTGTGCTGCTGTTACCTCGAAGAGCATCACCTTGACCTGCAGCACTCGGTAAGTTTGGCGGTTGTGAAGCAGATGATGCTCTTCCTGGTTCCACCGCGTCTGTTCCGAGAGACGGTCCGGCTCTCGGCTCCTGTAAGGTTGCTGCATTTTGCGCTTGAAGATCTCGCAAGCGTTGCATCTTCCTCAGTGTCCTATGCTGCTTCTCAAAGTTGTATCTCCGCAATAGCGGTGGACCCAATGCGAGAAGTGGCGCACAGCCAAGTAACATCAAGCACAACGAAATCACATGAGTCGTCCATCGACTTTTTGGCCAGTCAGTAACGCTCAGTCCCGCCTGTGTCACACACGACATCGAATAGAAGAAAGCGTCCACCATCGTCAAGCGCAATTCCCTGGTTTGGGTGATAATTGGTGTCGTGGAAGCAGGAGCGCTAGGGATATCTGGAAACCTGGTTGACGAAGTCATCGGGGGTTCCGCTGCCAAATTTGAGAATGACAAGGAGGCTTTCTGAAAATTCGTGGCACTTCTTCTAGTGCCGAGCTTGTTAGCGACGCTGCTTGCCTCTGATGATCGTCCTCGTCTAGTGCGCAACGTCGTGTGCATTTGTACGGATGACGGCACAAGGTTGGCGCCGTCGCTGAGCTCCTCTTCATAGTCGGTTGCCTGCTCTTCATAGTCCGCCTTCCGGTCGGCACTTTCTCGTTCGCCTGCATTCCGTATGTCTCCTCGCTGTTGTTGTTGTTGAAGCGCTGTCGTATTGAGGTGAAAGTGTGTGGGAAAATTCTGATGTGCATCTTCAGCCAGGAGCCAATGAATGCCCGAAGTTGATTTAGTGTTCGCAGGCAAAGCCAAAGGCCCACGCCCTTGACCGTTGTTATGCTTATGCGTGGTTGGAGGTGATGATGAGTTGGATTTCTCGTCGAAGAAATCGTTTTCAGAAACGTACAGCAGGACTGCGCCAATGAGCACCACGACAACGATGTAGAGGCAGAAAGCGCAGTAGAATGCGTTTTGGACTTTTAGGAGAAATCGACTTCGCACCGTCCACGTTGTGACTGGGCTCTGGTGCCAGCTGCAGGTGGGATCGTTAGGGTCGTGTTGTGCATGACCACTTCTGCGGCAGGATTGGCTATTGCGACGAGAGGAACTCGGAAAATTGTCGCTGTGTTTGGGGCTCGGCGTAATTAGTGGGCTTGCACCTGAGGACATTGCTCCTTGCTGAGCATTCAAATGATAGCAGATTTATTCTTGTTATCGCACTCCTCGTAGCTTTTCGAACCTCTCAAAAACCAGCCCTCATTTATGTATTACTCTTTGCTTTTGCTATTTTTACGTTAATAAGTCCCTGTTTTGATCTGTACCAATTGTTGTTGTACTAACTCGTCAGTTCTCTCCTACATTGTGTAGTCCGTCCATCGTCAAACTACTTTCAACACCCGCTGCCTCTCAAGTGCTTTCATCATGTGCCCCATCTCTATCAACATCAAGCACCCTTTTTCGGACAGGAAGTCACTCAGATTTTTGTAAGTCGTATTCTTCCAAGTCACTCTCTCCGTCATCACACTCCCACAGCCTTGTTTTCAAAATTCCCGTTGCAGGCTACATCCAATACTTCGTCCTTGCTATGTCCAATTGTTGATAACTGCATAAAATAAACGCTATCGTATTTGCTGGTTGAAAAGTTTAGGTTGTGTCCTTGTAGACATAATGGTGTCAGTGAGGCAAAAGTTCAAAGAATCATCAGTAGAAGAAGTGCATCAGTCGAAGAAATTTACTCACCTGAAAATAAGCATGCATGCACAAACGAGTCACAGGAACATGATCAAGGATTTCATCGTTGCGACTTGGACATGTCTGTGCCTGTCTCACAGAAAAGATGGAATAGGGAGAAAAAGCAAGGATTGACAGATTTCCAGCCCCAAGCTGGTATTAGAGTTCATCCCAGTCATATGTTCCGTCTTCGTTCCCTACTTCAGCGTCGTCATCATCATCCTCCTCACGAGGTTTTTCTGCGCTATTTGACGAGGGTTGATCACCGCCAGTTGCGGGTCTTCTGCCTCGTCCACCTGCCATCTGGGTTATTCGCCAGTTCTTCTCCTCTTTTTCCTCGCGCCACCTTCGCTCCATCCGCTCTACGTCTTCCAGCGCTTTTTTATCGTAGGCGTCTTTCAATTTGTCAATCTTCTTTTGCAGTTGCAGCATCTCTACCTTGGTTTGCCCATCTTCACTGACCCAAGATACCTCCATAGAATGCCGGTGGAGGAGCATGCATTAGAAGAAACGATTTTTTTACGTGGGGCAGCTGTATACAGAATTGTGTAAATTGACAGTTTAGGACGAGGCCGTCGGTCGGTCTCGGTTGTAGGCATGGGCATAAATCTTACGCAGCCTTACACATGCTGCATGATTGGAGACAATGCAATATCAGTCTGTTGCAGACGAGTAGGGAGTAGTAGTACTACAACTATGAACATGAGAACGTTGACATTCTTTTGAGAGGGAATCTAAACTAAGGTCAACATCGAATGATCTACTAGGAATTATAATGAATTTTCGATAACAGCCTTAATTGAAGTGCGCATCGACGAGCTTTTTGTGTCTCTGGTAGTCCCGCTCGAGCAAGAATATGTCTCCACTAAAGGGCAGCATAGTTATCCAAAACCTTAGTTCGCTTTCGACAGCTTCCGCCGACCAATGAAAACTCTGCAGAATCACTGTTCCAACCTTGTTCAACTGCACAAACCGCTGATATCGAGGATCGAGCTGTGAGAGCGAGAGGGAGAGACGAGGATATAATATTTTAGTCAGGTGAATACCCAGCTAGCATTATTCAATACTTGTTTAGCTTAGGAGATTGCAACGAGTAGGAACTTGTATTTGTAAAAGTAAATAGCAATGAATCATTCCCATTCTTGCATCAATCTATCGCTACAGCTCTAGGATCACCACAATTACCTGTTGGCGGCTAGCGTCGGCATTGCTCAACTTCGCTATCGTCGCTGAATCCTGCCACTTGATGTAGGGTTCAAACATGCCTATGTCCGTGATGTTTAGTTTAACTGGATGTCCCGCACGCGGGCCCCTCTGCAAGATTCGGGTTTCTCCGTCATGCTGGTCGCCAGGAACCGTGTCCTTGTCAGAACTATCCTCTATCGGCATCAAGTTGGGATTTCCCTTCAACCTGAACGGCTTAACAAGCCTGCTACTGGGCACCTTGGGGTCACGGCAGAAGAAGATGTCTCCGCTATGTTTGAAAACGTCGCACAGGGTATCGACAGCAAGACACTCCCGTTTGCGCAACCAAGCGAACGCGCAGCCACCGCCGTTGCCGGCTCCTACAACCACTACTCCCCAGTTTTCTGTTATGTGCCGATAGTCCGTCTCCTCTCCCAAGACGCCGTCCTCGAGGCGCATGTGCACACGTTGCCACGAAGTCGCCCAAATGACACCATACCCGCACGTTGACGGGAAAAGCTCGAAGGAAGATGGTGTGGCTGAAGGTACTGGCGCAGATGCGGTAGCTGCTTTTCCATCTTGGTCATCAGAAGCCACCTCGTCCTCATCATCGATTGTGTCCAGTTCTCTTTCGTCCGCCAGTTTTCTCGAAGCCGACAATGACTTTGGATCCTTGTTGGCGTTTCTCTTGGGTGTTGCCTGTCCCATACGGTCAACACAATCTAGAGCGAATTTCGCTTGCCAGTCCGGATCACTCTCCTGTCCTCGAATGAAGTCAATCTTCTGCGCCACACTGGGGCGCAAGCGCTCGCTTTCCTCACGACGCATTTTTCTTGCCTTTTTCACGTTGGGCGCACGTACTAGGAATGCGAAAATACTCGCATCGAAGATCTGGTCATGATATCGCAACGTGTCAGCGCTTTTGCGCAACGCGAGTGCTTTCGTGATTTCTTTGCGCCAAAAAGCACGCGCAGTACGCCGCTGTTGGTCGCAAAACGTTCGCCGCTGTCGCTCCTTCGATGATATTGCCGCATCCTTCTTCTCCTCGACGTCATCCTTGTTTTTCGGATTTTTATCGACCTCTAGCTCTACTTGAGATCCACTTACTTCCTCACAATCTACAGCCGCGAGTTCGCTGCGTTTCGGCACCCCAGCATGGTCCATCACATGCCGCGTTTGATATTTTGCTAGGACGTACTGGAACGCCAAATCGGAGTCCTCGCCACCGCTCAGTAAAACCGCACTTCCGAACGACGAAACCGCCTCGGTGAACTCCCCTCTCTATTAGAAATTCAGCGGATGCAGCCACATCAAAAAGACCACCTCTGTGCATCTTGGTCCTTGTAGTACTAACAATATTTCCTTGATTCTTGTAGTAGTAGACATAGAGTTCCCCTTCGAGGATAGTGAAAAGAAACTGTATACAAGCCATCCTCACCTCTAAGTAATCACAATGAAAAGAGCAGATAAGACATGTTCGTTGATGTAGAAGCAGCAGCCGACTCTTGGTAGCCTTAATCTGACCATTGCAGCTGGGCAAGGACCTGCTTTGCCTTCGACGTCTGAGATTTCGCCAACAAATCTGAATTCAGAGTCGCGATCCCCAAATTGGCTTGTATCTGCGCGTCATTTGGCGAGAGAGCTAAAGCCTTTTCGAGCGAAGCTATGCCTTGGTGCGTTGCTTGTGGACCGACCTGTGGAACTATCTGAATAAGTGCAAGTGGTTCTACTCATACTACTTCAACAAACTAGTACTAATTGAATTCTTGGTGACAGATTAGTACTAGTGGACGAGCACGAGGTGGTCATGCCAGAACTAGTAGAACTAATTTCATCCTCATTGCTTAGAACAACATGATTGATGTTGCGGGCAGGACCAAAATCAATGCGCGTCTGATGATATGATAGACATTGATATGTAGAGGAAGGAATAATTACCTTGAGTAAACAGGTTCCGAGATTGAACCAGTAGTTCGCAACCATGGGTCGTATTCTTGTGGCCATAATATACGCTTCGACAGCATCGTTGAGCCGATCTAGACGTTCGTAGGCCCATCCAAGGTTGTTCCATGCCTCAGGCTCTACCTCGCGTTGTGCTCTCAGATTTGCATTCTTACGGCGTCGTTCACTTTTGCTTTCGGCTTCACCTTCTCCAGCTTCGGCTTCATCTTCTTCAGCGTCGTCTCCAGCTTGGGATGTTTCATCGTTCATCTTGGCATTTTCAGTGTCTTCGGTCTCTCCAGCTTCCCCATCAGGCCGTTTGTGCTGGTCCTCTTCAGAGGTGGCATCAGCTTCATCACTTGTTGTACTTCTTGATTGTTGCGCGCCTCCAGAATGTCTCGATGCGTTCACCTCCGCGTCTATCGAGGCTCCCGCGGCAACGCCCCCATTCGGCCCTGGATCCGGACCCACACGTAGTATATCTCCCCGAATAAGTGCGAGAGCCTCTTCGTAGCGAGCTAGGTCCATGTAAATTTTTGCAAGCCGTTGCGCCGAATCCAGGTCCCGTGAACTGAGGCCGCGCAGTATGTGGATTGCCTTATCGTGCTTGCCATCGCCCAATAACTCGTCCACATATTTCTTTGTGTCGCGCAGGTCAAACCTAGGAGGCTCTTGATCTGCGTACTGGGGTTGAGCAGACGCGAAGTTAAGTATTACGAAAAGCAGATCGAGGATGAAGTGCTGATGCAGCACAATGCTCGGAAACAACCACTTCATCAGTGTATCCAAAGTTGAAAAATTAATTACTCTAACTTCAACGAATAATGGCTTTCACGGAGATGACGATCTGTCACATTGTTCATACAAATAATTTAAGGCGACAGGATTCTATGACCATAAGGTTAGGTTAGGTTAGGTGTGGGCCTACCAGGAAAACTGGTGATCCTACTAGAAAATTAAATTTGTTCAGCAAGATACCAACATCCATATGCAACAGAAGAATTATCCGTTATCGCTAGAAGCTACTTCTACTTTCTTACGACCTGTTTCTGCACCCTGCTATGTTTGTACTTAATTACAACATGTTGCAGTAAGGAAAAATGTTTAATTCGGTCGAAGTAAACCGGTCGGTCATTATTAGTGCCAGAGGTTTGCTTGGGGTTTAGCGTCGTTGACTCAGTAGCTCATCAAGGGTGTTCCTGTAAAAACGGGCAAGAGCTCCGATTTTATAGTTCCCTCAACGCTCGGCGTTGTCCTATTTCAACACAGACTCATATCCGAAGGCGCTCATGTCCCTACTCTTTTCTCTCACTTGCTACCGCTCGTCGTGCTAAGTTGTTGTGTAGGTCTACTGCTAAGACTCGCTCTTGTTTTACCACGCAAACAACAATTTAAAACCAATCAACCATCAAAACTAAACTACGTGTTAGTTAGTTAAGGTTGCTCTGCCACAGCTACTGACTTCGTATCCCTGCGCTATCTGGTGCTGCTGACGCTAGCATCCAAAATCTACACAGGAAAAACGGTGGTGCCAGACCTTTGCTATCTCCATCTGTTTGTCCTGACGCTCATTGGAGCGGGCGCATTGCCTTTCAAGTATTCTATTCACGGAGTTAAAAAAAAGTCAAGTCACACGAACTGCATCTACTTTGTTTAGTTTTTCAAAAAATACAACACGTACAATAAATCATTCTCTTTTCATCTTGTTTACGAAGAAATCTCACGGTATGACTTGGTCCAGTAGGCCCATTGAGGTCATTTCGTCTGCGGTCGAGTAGCGATTGTTCGCGAAGGTCTGCACGATCCGCGTCAGGGCTGACGGTTTCTTAGATCCACCAGTACGGTCATGTTGTAAAGTACAAGATGAAATAAATAAGAACTTACTACTTTCTTACATACATCACACATAATCATGATGGACCTAGAAGCATCTATGTACGAAATAAGTAGGCGCGGTAATGGAGGTGGAGCAGGAATGTCAATCCCTAGTCCTCGTTCCTCACATGAGTCACACCTTAAGCTACTAAAATCCTTCGTCATAAGAATAGACGTCAATTTTGTGTATGCTGCAACACTCGTTTTGTGGTAGAGGTCCAGATTGTCAGCATGAATGCGCATTTCCTCAGTCTGCCCATGCACGCCGCTCTTCGAAGGCGGATGCAGCTTAGCTTAGAGAGGGATGGAAGAAGTCATGTGAGTAAGACATGCAGGCTTGATCTTAGTCATACTCTTCATCTCTAGGTTAAGGACGTAGGTGGCTATGGGTTGCAAGCGAGTCAGTAGTAGTCGTATCTCGCTGCAGCTTTGTGTAAATAAATATCCTGAAATTTTTGAGTGACGAGGCTACGCACTAAGTAGTATAGTACAACATCTAGTGAATTTTGTTTTGAGTATAAGACTGTGCTCTCTGTCTCATAAAAGAAGAGACAGCTGCTTGACGCGATTCGTTTCTTGCAAGCAAAAGCCGGAAATGTCGCCGCAGAGCCAACGAAACCTTCTGATTAGCAGGAAGAGGGAAATAGCTGTCACAACATGGGTGACGACAGTATGTTTTTCATTTTCGAATATCAACAACTTAAATTCTTGATGACGACATTATTGTCCCGTCAACATAATTGGAAATGCATTCTGTTCCATGTCCTGATGCATCGATTTCGCGGATAGTATCCATCATGGCAAAGCCCGCCGCTAGATCACCACCCTGACTCGAAAAATGAAATCGCAGCGGTGGACGACGTTTTTTCGGATCGAGAGCAGCGGCTTTAATAATCTGTGCTTCGCAAGAAGGCGCTGTGCCCGTGTCTGGTGGTGCAGCAGAGGCGGGCACAGGTGGGCTTTTCTTAGACGTGCTGCTGATGAGAAGAAGATGAAAAAAAATACTTTAGTATCTTTTGTTCAACACCGGGCGTGTGTTTCTCGTCACGGCAAACCAGCAACACAAGGGTACAGCATCCTCATGGTCATGAGTATATCTTCAAAAGAATTAAAAACTCATGCCTTCCCATAATGCAAGCTTCCTGCGCTGTGCAAGGTGCCTTGGACGGTAGACCCTCTGACACGGTAGCACCTCCGTCTACATGAACATAGCCCCCGCGCCCGCCTCCGCTCATACTCGCATCATTCGAGACAGACGTCGCGACTCCGTTGTCTGTCTTTTTAACTGATGATGCTGTTTTTTCCGCCACGCTGGTGCCTGTACCGGAGGTTGTCGGTGGACCTCCAGCTTTGGGTGAAGCAGGTGCTGCTGGACCACTTTTTTCATTGGCACTGGTTGCAGCGGCAGCGGGAGCTTTCTTAGTCAAAGAAGCGCTTGCTGCAGTGGGTTTCTTTGCCTCTTTCTCGCGTTCTGCGACCGCTTCGTAGGCATGCTTCTGGAATTCTGCTGCACCTTCCTTGCACATCTTCCCCGCATAGATTATGTTCTGTCCGGATCGATACACCCGATAACCGTTACTAGCGGCATCCATTTTGTTGTGCTTGTGTTTGTGTATGCAAACCTTAAAAATTGATAAAGATAATAGACAAAGAGAAATAACCAAGTACCCTTAAGTAACAAGATTTTTGAGATTCTTCAAATGTCGCTTCAACGCTGCTATTTCGACGGACGCACGACCCTTCTAGATGCAAAGCAAAGTACGAAGCAATTACTTTTGCATCGAAAGCGTGGTCCTGGTCGGTGAATAGCAAGCGCAGTTTCGTATCTTTTCTTGACCCTCTTTTTCGAATTACCTGGTCGTATTGCTCTCATTTCATACGAGCCTTTTCCATCCCTGTGTTTTTTTCTTTCAGCTCAACGCGGCTTTCGTCTGTCAGCCTCCATGTGACGGTATAAACGGCGTATTTGATTGCTGGACGCGTTCGTCTTCAATGATCATATTCTCGGTCTTGCTATATAAAAACATTCATCGTCACGGTCGTTTTGATCCGCCCTTTTTACGAACTTCAGATGAGGCAGAGCACGGGCAAGCGCAAGCCTGCGACAAGCAGGGGACTCCGATTGTCTTCAGCGAACCGAGTTCAACAAGAAGAACGACGAACAGGACAATTTCCCCCCTGCTTTTTGTACCAGCAAGGATGTGACTGCAAAGTAGTAGCTCCATTTCTCTGTGGTCTCTTGCGGCTTTTTTCTCCTTCACAAGTCGGCAGCAGAGAGGAAGACGAGGACTTTGTTCTAGTATGACGAGTTCGTGTTCATCGACCAGGTTCTTTTTCTATATCCAGCATAGGTAGACGTCCTATTTTCTAAGAATTCTTCAAACTTCAAATTATCTTGAGTTTCAAGTCATAAATTCTACGACGAGGCGACCCTGGCGGCCCGCCCGGAACTGACACTGACTTCTTCTACAGAAAAAATGACATTAGTACTAGCTGTTTCGTACGGCCGAAGCTGCGCGCCTCGCCTGCTACGGATGGGGATGGTCTTCATCATCAGGCAGCGAACACCGATGAAAGCAGATGAAATGAACGTGTCCCCACCCTCTCTTTGAAAAATTAACAACATCCTGCTTAAGTATAGTGGCATGGCATGAGCAGTCTCACATAGTACGTAGTACACTCCTGAGAATGTTGAAATAAAATGTTCCAAATATTTCATATTATTTTGGTATTGAAGTTGATGGCTCAGACCTAACCGGTTGCGGTTGCTGGCCGTCTTATATCCAACTCGAGCTGCTTCTATCCGCCTTTCAGACGCGCTAAGTAACGTTTTGTATGTGAGACTTTAAAGACGAGCAGTAAGCCAGTTTCTGCCCAGAGCATGGGTACTAGTTTTCTTCCTACGGGACAAACACATGAAAATGAAAAAGCAGTAGAAGGATTTATTAAAACGTAAGGGGAGTCGACGTTGACAGTTGCAATGAAGCGTCCCGCATATCACCTTGCGCCACGATAACTATAAATGAAATGAGCAATGGATGCTCCTACGACCCACAAGCACAGATAGAAACTACGGATCATAACTAGTAACGCTTCAAACATCGTACGAAGAGGTCAGCGAGGTCCTATGCGCCTACTAATCAAATGCCTCGTTTCGGTTCTTTTTCTTCATCTTGACGCGGAGTCCTTTTCTACAACAAAACAGACAACCAGAAGTTCTTCATGAAACCATGGTAAGTCTTTCCAGGACCATTGTTGTACTGGGTCTGATGGCCAGTGGTAGAAACCTACAATTTTCGAAATGAGGTAGCAAAATAGACGTTTGCCGCATGTGGTAACAAATTGCTCATACATAATTCTCCTGTTCAAGATCCGCATCTTCTGCGTGGTAATCAACATACTTCCGCTGACTCACTTACATGGATTTTCACTGATTTGTAAACGAAAATATCAAATGGAAATGGGCACTATGACGAAATTAACGAATGAAACGCGCGCCTCTCTTCCAACTACGCAGGCGTGTCCTCACGTGCACGCTCTCCATGCCGGCGGTCTTCATTAGTATAATTGATCTGGTGCTTGTAGTTACTGGAATTGGAATTAGAATTAGTTTCGTACGCGACCCGTCCGTCGTACTAGCCTACCTTTTAGTCGCGCTGAGGACACTGTTTAGTTTGAGTATTAGATTTAGAGTAGAGTAGATGACAAATGCAATTCCTTGTTTGATAACAAGCAAATTACTCGTCCTCCTTCGACGTAAAGTAGGAAAGCAGGGTGGGCACGACACGGGTGAGGAATAATTATCTACACTCGTATGATCGAGATGGATCGTGACAAGAGTGACGTGCGGTCGTCAACGACATTGTACGTATAAGTAGACCCACCTGTGGATAGTCGAAGACGAGGAGGATAATCAACAAGATCACAAGATGATATACTGAGTGAGCCATCTTCATCTGCCTCGCTTCCTCTTCGTCATCACAGATACTAAGTGAACAAGAAAGAATGAAGAAGATTTGTTGTACATATATATATATAGTAACGTACATCTACCATGGTGACAATTATAGCAGACTATAAATCAAGTAGTAGCAGATCCATCTTGTAGTTGTTGAGGGCCTTTGCTTAAAGTGTTTATAGATATAGCTATGACGATTATAGAAGTCATCCCCAGTTTTACCGAAGAAGGTGATAAGACCCTGCTTTTCAATAACTGACACAATCTTTTTGGAGTCGTAGTCACATCAATAGAAGAACTGTTTGGCGCTATCGAGCTGTGGCACATCATCCATCAACATTGCCCCCGCCGACCCGACCGCTTCCAGCAACCGCCACATCACAATCTTACTAGGTAGATCCATCTAGCTGTAGCTCTTCAAGAATTTTAATAGAGCAACATATCAAGACAGAAAAACGATGATCCGCAAATAAATAAGAACTAGTAGCTGCATCAACATCTAATCATTCTTGTGAGACACGCGCGAGTGCAAAATACACAGAGACACGACACAGCCTACTGAACGAGCGCCGACACTCAAAACAGAGGGAGACAGACATCCTGTAAGAGAATCGATCACGCAGAAAAGCAATTTCTCTTTCAATGACTGAAAAGGAACTCACAAGCCTGGCGGGAAGAATGGTAGTAATACGATATCCGGCGAGATCGCACGCCTTGCCCGGAGCGCATCCATCGATAAAAAGGAGCTGAAAGAGAAAGAGGAAAAGCAAAAGTAACTATGTAAGTAGATTTCTGCAGCTGGGTGGAGCCTCTAGTAGCAGTAGGAGTAGTAGTAGCAGTAGTAGTAGTGTACCCAGTCAGGGGGTATTACAGCAGAAATAGTGAGCAGTTGCCTTCTTCACTAGTCAGTCCGCGTTTTTCTTCCCCTTGCACTTCAAGAGGTCATAACTACAAAAAAGAACAAGGTCGAGGATCATCGGAGATCATATCTATAATAATGTTGAACAGCTCTAAGGAGAAGAGGCGAGTACGTTGATTTACTCACCCGGGTCGAGTACTGAAACTCAATGAGTTTTCGCAGTCCTGTCGCATTTAATCCATCGCCACATAGCCGCTACACGAAAGGGTGTGCTCCTTGAGGCAACACGGGCGGCACAGGTAAAGTCAGAAGCTTAAGCTACGCGCGTTCATTGTTTGTAAAGCAATGAGGGAGTAGTATCAATGGATCAACGCAAAAAAACAAAAGCATGAGGGAGACATGAGCCTGAAGAGGGATCATTATCATTGGTAAGTTACTTGTAAAGCTAACAAAGAGTGACCACACCCTTGTAGTCGCACCCAATTTTTGTGTCTCTAAAATGCGTGCGCTGACCGCAGCTATTTTTAAATCAGCAAAGTGGCCCGTTGAAAACATCCTTCGTCGTTTTCACACATTGATTTAGATATTTTTAGGTACAAGAACGACAAGAACCAAGGCTCCGACTTCTGCTTTCGTTAGCTGAACTCTAGGTGGTGTACCGTAGTCACATCACCAGTCGAAGAAGAACTACGTGGATTCACCTCTAACTATAGCGAAGGAAAAGTAGACACCATATCAGTTATCATATTCACCAGGAAAACAAGTTGGGTTTTTCATGTTCATAATTATCATTTCAGCTATCTTCATGTAGTATTGGATAATTGTTATGGTTTCATAGGTAGATTACCGGTTTTTTGCGGTTAGCGCTAGAACAGTTTGAGAAAATCATAAAAGATACAGATAGAGACTAGCATTATATCTTGAAGAAAGGGAGCGGCCATTAGGTATTGGTACAGGTATAGAAAAAATAGTACTTTAACGAACAATAAGTAGGAAGTAATATCAACTTTCATCGATGAATCAACTTGGTTCGATAAGAATGGGCACATTATTCAAAGTCATAGTCAACGATAATCTCAGCCAGGAATAGGTTATTGTAGATAGCCAACTACCGCATCACATCTCGAAGCCAGCAGTGGTTCTTGTTGTACTCGAAGTACAACTCGCACCATCGAGTTCCAGCACGACCTGCATGACCATGGATGTTCGTTGATGCTAATTACAAGTGGCTGCATAATGAAAGTGTCCACCGACCTAGCAGAGATATTGTCTGCGACCTAGCAGAGATATCATTACCTTCATCCTGCGCCTCCCTAGTTTTTTAGCTTTAGCGCCCGCCGCTATCCACCTCGAAGACTACTCGGAGACCTTTCTCTCCGTGAAAAAGCCTCAAAGATGCTTTTAAGGATGGACTAGGGGAAACCGTAACTGGTAGCGCTCGACTGCCGATTATTGATGAGCAGAATTCACTGTGTTGATGTGGAAGAAGGCATCCATGAGTCGTCGGTGCTTGAAACTGAAAAGGACGCTACTTTTAGGAAGAAAAGTCGATGTTTGGGCTTTTTGCAATGGTTTTTCTAGTGCAGGATGACGGACACGGCTGGCGGGTGAGCGTCATGGTCCTCAGTCGAACACGATCTCATGAGCGCGACGTCGTTTTTCTTCGTTGTGCCCCTATTCCTATTCGTGTGCGTGATGTCGCCTATTTCTTAGCGTAGTTAAGAAGTACTTTCAATTTCATCCATAATTGTAACTTTCTTAGTACTTGTGTTCCAAAAAGTAAACTGTTGAATCACGGCCAATTCTTGCTGCTCTCTGAACGCCAAGAAATTCTGCGATTTCAAATGTCCTACTTCCTTGACGAAGATCTTGAGCGTGACGTTGGGTTTTGGGGTAATATTAAAGAGCTAAAAAAAAAACTCAGCAACAACCCCGCCAAACTCTCACTCTCCTACTTCCAAACACCAAGCCCCAAACTCTCACTCTTTCACCTTTGAACTTTTGAACTTATGAATTTGCTGCATGAATTTTATGAATTTACAAATTTATAGGAATGCGCACGAATTCGCGAACTTGTGAATTTATGAACTTGCGAATTTGTGAATTTCTGAACTTCTAAATTTCTAAGTTTCTAAATTTCTGAGTTTCTGAATTTAATTCATGAACTTACGAATTTATGAATTTCTAAGTTTCTAAATTTCTGAATTTATCAAAGCTCGCGAATCAAGTCGAAGAGATTGCACGAACCTCGGAAAAACTTGGCAAAGTCGAGAGTTTTTGGATTTGATAAATTGAAAGCCAAGAGATTGAATCTCAGCAAAACTCGTTAAAATCAAAAGTTTTCGGATTTGAGGAATTGAGACGCCGAATAGAGGTCGAATTTTCGGACCAGCTTGCTAAAGTCGAAGGTTAAAAATTTGAGAAATTGAAACCCAAGAAATTGAATCGCGCGAAAACTTAGCAAAGTCAAAAATTTTGGGATTTGGGCGATTGAAATCTCAGAAATTGAGTGCTGAAGTAACTTGCTAAAATCAAAAACTTCGGGATTTGACGAATTGAAATCCAAGAAATTGAATACCCGCGCGGCTCGCTAAAGTCGAAAGCTTTTGGATTTGGTTGAATTTCAGAAAACCTCGCCAAAGTCGAAAGTTTTTGGATTTGAGAAATTCAAAGCCAAGAAATTGAATTTCAGACAAGCTCGCTAAAGTCTGAAATTTTTGAACTTGAGGAATTGAGGCCCAAGGTCTCAGATCCGAGACTTCAGGCAAAACCCTCCAAGCCCGGCAATTCGTTCGAGTCCAAAGCTTCAGCCTGCAAGTCCAAAGCTGCAAAATCAAAGCGCCAAGCTCGAGGCTAGGGCCTCGAGCTTTGCTGAAGCTCAAAGCTTGACACTGCAAGCGGTCGCGAGCTTCAAGCTGCAAGGCAAAAGCTTCCATCAATCTCCCCCCAAGTCTCCACCTCAAAGACTTACGCGCGAAGCTTCGCGCCCAAGCCTCCCAATCCAAAGCCCTGCACTAAATTCAAAAGCAGGCACACCTTGAGACATCTCGAAAACCTCAGAGACAGAAGCGGCCCCCTCTGTTAAATTCCGCGGCGCCTCTGTTCCGACTCCTCTGGCGCGGGCCACTTCGTCAGGAAAGCGCCGCGAGCTGGCGGAAGAGCAGCGGGGGAGGCGCGTCTTGGCGAAGGAAATGCTCGAAGGAGGTGGAGGATTCTAGCGGAGGGAGAGCTATCGGGCGCTGAAGTCTAGTATCTATCCTACGTTGTAGTTGTTCTTGTTGTAGAAATTAATCATAGTGGAAAATAAAAGCACGATCCGTAATGCGGAAAAAAATCCGCGAAGTTCTTGCTTCCCATAAGGCCTCGTCGCTGTCTGTGGCTTTGTGGTAGACCGTGCTGCTCGGTCAGAATTCTACGACTAGCACCAAGCCCCCTGAAGCTTCTTTGCAAGTGGTCGTCGAAGTCTGTAGTGTTCACGGGCGAGTGCGGAAGTCTCGTCTTCTATCACGCGTGTGAGGCGTTTGCGTGGCGCTCCACTCTTGATCGCAAACGCAAAGCAAATCGCAAAAAAAAATATGATGGAATACATAGCAAGGCGGATTGCTTCGAAATCCAGGATGTTCAGGTAAGTGCGCAAGTAGTGGTCTGCCTCTGGGATCACCCGTGGTCAGCTTCTTTCTCTTCGCACGGAGAGGCCGACGAGCTCGCAGCAAAGGCTCTTGAAAGTATCAATAGTCCTAACATCGTGCTTATGCTCGCAGCTTGGAAGTTGGCGCCCGTGTTTTTTCATTGTCTGTATGCATCATGTTGACTGCATTCATTTCCATTTCGTCCTTGCCACTTATTCTAGCTCGCATGGCACCACTGAGAATTGCTCCTTTATGGGAAACGCCCTCGAGGAAGCAAGCCGATAACGAGTAGAGCACAGCGTAAAATAGGTAGTAGTTCTTAAAATTTTCTTTCCACCGACATCATTCACTTTCAGAGAGAAGCGATGTCAGGTGTCTGATTCATCTTGAAGAGGAACTAGATCATCCTCTTTTCTTTGCTTTTGTTTCATGACAATGTTAATCATCATTAGGTGTAAAAAACCGGATGGACACCCGCCACTAAAATGGGAGACAGGATTTTGTGGTTGCCGCCCTCTGCCACAACGAAGAAGTTGCTCATCTTGGGTTTGTTTTGGTGGTTGAAAAGGTTGCTCATCCTGTGGAGTATCCTCATCAGCAGACCTCGTCGACCTCCACAGTCATCATGCACTACTAGTAGTAGTACAACTCTGGATGAACTTGTTGTAGAACCCAAAGTCAAAAGAAGAAGTAGTACTCGTGGTTAATTTCATCTGCATGAAGATCTGCACCACCCTTCGTCTTTCAAGCCTCATGTGTCGTTTGTTGTAGTGGACATGAAACAAGTCTCCGCCGTTGCAGGGCGGCCTAGATGAAAGGAGTTGATGACGCACTCTCCATAGCTTTCCAAGTTGGACAACGCACCTTGCTGATCAGCAGCCACACGCTACACACGTCCAGCAAAAGGCGGACACGGTTGAGGTCCAGATGAGGATATATGATTTCAACACGTTTAAAACGAGAAGAAAACGTATTTTCATATAATCCGCATCATTCTCCTTGGTAAGCAAGCCGTCACAAGTAGAAACTATTGTTCTACTTCTTCGAAGATGATGCTTAGCGCTGACTAAGACGCATAAGCATATTTAGTTATATCTTATTAGTTGTAAGAACTGCTGTCGGAGGGCGTAGTGGCCGTCCCCGCTCGTTGTATTGACTTGGCTTAGGTTGGGTAGGTCGGGCGGATATTCGGCACTACCGGGCCTGAGTCTGCCAGGCCTGTTTTCTCACGAAACGACTGGCTCCCTATTGATTTTGGCGGGGCAGAGGACATGGCGTAAAAGCGCCGCATCTCGCTATCAACTGCTGCCGCGCTGCACATGCTTGAACAAGGTGGGCCGTGGGGTCCTCCTGCACCCTGAAGATACACGGCTGCAGCGTTCGACCCCGCAGAAACAATTGCCACTTCCCCACTGGACGCAGCCGGAGACATCGTCACAGCTCCCGTAGAAACCGAGGCGGATGGGTACACGGAAGAAGGTCCCGGCGCGCCCCCTTGCTGATGTAGCTGCTGCTCTTGTGGGTGCGTCGGCGCTGGAGCATGATTGCCCTCTCCTGTGGCCGTAGCTGTACCACTAGCACCGTGGGCTTGCCATGCTGCTCGTGCTCCGGTTCCTCCGGCTCTGCTACTATACTGAGACCCATAGTACTGGTGTTGCACTTGATGGGCGTAGCTGGGTCCTGTAGAGGCAGAGCTAGAAGTGGATGCCGAAGAGGACGCCAGGCAGTTGTGGTTGTTGTTGTAATTATTGTAATGCGCCTGGCCTGATGGCGACGAATAATGTCGATGGTGTTCCGATTGTGTCATCCCTCTTAATGTAGTGCCTTGTGCAGAGGTGGCTGCACCATAGCCCTGATGAAAAGTAGTTCCCGATACTGCCACGTGATGGTGCCGGTTGCTGTAGAATTGTTGGTGGTCCCCAAGCGCTGCTCCAGCGGCTTGAGCTACTGGGAAGTCAAGAGATGAGGCCGTTGACGAGGAGAACAATTGACCCGTCCCTGACCGTGGGCCGCCATGCTTGACGCCGCTCCCTGTAGTGCGAGACCGCGCAAAGGGCTGTGGAGCTTGTGGGCAATCTTCCGAAGCCATGTCCGACGTCCACGAATCAGAGTAAACTGGCGAAAAAACTTGCCGCCCACCGGCGGCAATGCGTCGCTCAGGATAATCTGAAACGAGACTGCAGGCGGGGCTAATTGGGCTCGGTAGATGCCACGGCGATGGCCCGCGACTTCCCGGTGGGTACTGGTGTCCCTCGACTCCGTGGTTCGAAGCAGCGGCCACACCCCAAGAATTGGAATTCGTTCCTTTGGAACACGATGGATGTTGCTGCTGCGAGGACCACGTTGGACCACCACCGCCCGTTCTGGGTATTCGTCTGCCACTTTGGGGAGCGGTTGGGTACAATTTGTTGCTCGAGCCGCCCGACCGCAGACCACCTCCACTTTGGGTCGGGGGTCGCGCTGCAAGCGGTGTCGACAAAGAGAAAGGGACCGAAGCGTGGTTGCCATGGATGCCAGTGCGACTCCAAGAGTGTGGCCGAACTGCTGCTCCTCGTTTTCCACGGCGCTTGGGATGCGGCGGAGGCGCGCCTCCCTCGGCACCTCCATGCCTCGCCCGGTATTGCACGAAATGCATATCTTGCCCCGCCACCGCTGTTTTACCTGCGTATTCTTGGAGATGGAGATTCAAAACGTTTTCTTCTAAGAATAGCGATAGCTGCGACCTGAAGACGAGCGATCGAACAATCAATCACACGACTTTCGCCTTCTTTGAAGAGAATTGAACCGTTCTAAGTAAGCAGCTGGAGTTGGACTAGAACTAAACAAAGTCGAGTACTGCTCCACGCTGCGTAGGCTGGCCGCGGTGCCGGAGGGTAAACCCGATCGACCGGCGATGGATGCTTTGCTATCCAGTGCGGGACGTGACGCCTCTGGTTCTCCCCGACAGTTGTCGTGCCTGCTCCGTCATAGCCAGCATAACCGTGGTTGCCGCTGAAGGCAGCACTGTTGTGACTGTGCTGGTTAGAGCGTATGCTATACGCATGCTCGAGCAGTGGCACACCGGGGCTCTGCGTATGGGCGGACGCGGCGCCACCGCTGGGTGAGCGAAAAGAGGACGCGCTCGTCTTAGACGAGTACGGATGGCCGCTAGTGTAGTGCGGAAAAAGCGCGGCTCCAGCCCCACCGGCAGAGCTCTGTGGTGCAGGCGCTTTCAACTGCGAGGACCCATGACCAGAAGAAGATCCGTCAGGGTGAAAGTAATGCTGATGCATCGCAGACTCTGTTGCCGCGGCGCTACTGCACGACGAGGAAGAGCCTGCAGCACCGTCACCAACAAGTACATGCTGACTGCTCCTGTGGATGGGGTCGTGTTCCCACGACCCGGTCGCAACTCCACTCGAACTATCGTTTCTATCGCGCGATCCTTGACCCACACCGAAATTGTTGTCGTAGCCAAACAGTTCGTGGCTCGTCTGGCGACGAGTGTGAAAATTTTCCATCATGTAATCTGTACTGGCAACTTGGTGAATCCCTTGTGCCGCGGCGTTGTTCAGTGTCACATAACGGCTTTCTTGTAGTTGTTCTTGCCCTTGCGCGTGAAAATTACTATGCCACGGAGACATCTGATTCTCAGCCGATTGAAATATGTCAGTTGCTCCACCGCCCTGCATACCCTCGAAATGATGTGCCGCTTGCTGGATGGGAAATCGTGCCGCTCCCGGGACCTGCATTTGGTGACTTGGATTCCTGGCGGGCGTAATGTGCGAGGCGCTGGGCGGACCAGCTTGGTCGATGTAGGTGTCGTACCCGCCATAGGCCGCGCCTCCTGGCATCGCGTTATTGTAGTTGATGAATCCAGGATGACTGCCACTGTAGTCCCCGGTGGAACCAAAGGCAGCAGTGTGCTTGTCGTGTTGAGTCAGTATATTTCTCTGCGGAGTAGTGCTTAGCCCATGATAGGATGATGCTGTTGCTGCGGAGAGATCGCCACCAAGTGCTGCTTGATCTAGTAAATAAGCACTAGCAGTAGCACAAGTGTTATATTGATCTGTGGTCCTTGGTGCGGGTACAAAGACACCATTGGACGCGCTCGGCGACGGCTTGGAAGCCGGCGCGATCCCAACACGGCTTGACAACGTATTAAGAGGCGTGCTGCACTTGATATAATGCTGTGGTGGAGCAGGACCCGGCAGACCGCCACCATAGTAGTAATTGTTGTAAGGGCAGCTGGCGCCACTGGGAGCTATTCCTGTTCCGGCTGCGGCCGCAAAATGATCGTAGTTCGGAGTTTGGTATGAAGATGAGGGGTGTTGAGCATTTCCATTACGGAAGGCTCTTTCTGTCTCGCCTGAGGTACCTCTACTACCCCCTGCTGCATTGCCGCCTTCGGCACAACCGCCTACGACGGCACTCCCGTGGCTCCGCTGTATTCCCATCTGCGGCGGTGGGCGCGTTGGGGGTTGCTGTGAATTTTCACTTCCCATAGGCGCTAAACCTCCCTGCTTCGGTGGCGCACGGCTACTTGGTTCTTTTGCTGTCTCAGACGTCGACGTGCTGGAGCGCACGTGGTCACGGTAACGACCGTGAAGGAAGCCGGTAACTTAGATGTAGGAGAAGGAGATTATCTACAGACATGTCAGATAACAATATACATACCAGTCAATGTATCATGTGTGTCAAAGTCAATGCAGAAAAGTGGTATTTACACTTAGATCCTTCTAATACAGGGCCGTGCTCGCGGTCGCGTCTTTGCTGTAATAAATTCTACTTACCTACATGACCAATCACGACATGTAGTACACATCAACAAGAATGAACGCAGCGGATCGGTCATGATAAACATGAATTGAAAATGATTAAAGAATCATCAAAAATATTATGAAGGTCGAAGAATTGAACCAACTATGATAGAGGCAGGTGGTGCATCAACATAATAGAAAAAATGATCAGGCAAATCGTCGACTGGCGGCCGGTAGCTCTCGGGTTGCTCCGCAGGAAGATCGAAGCACCTCAAGTGCTCCTTGGTTAAGCTTTTGAATTAAAGAGGCGCCGTCGGAAAGCTTACTCTTAGTTACGGCTTACACTGAGTCAAGATCAAGAAATGACTGTTTTCTCCTTCTACTACAGTCGAGTATGCTCTACTTCGAGCACTGATATTGAATTGCCGCCTGGTGTATGCGATGGCCCTTTGCATCTAAAAAATCAATTTCTTTATGTCTCCAGAGTCATAATCGAAAGCCTGCACGGGTGGTCCAGGAAGGCCAGCAGAATCGTCGTTATCTTCTAGTACCGGACCTTTCCCACATGAGGCACTCTCGTCAGTGCTTGCATTCTGCTTCTTCGTTTCTCGTGATGTAATCGCTTTGCGCTCACCTGCAGAAATTATGTTGATGTTCCTTGTTTCGTTTCCTGTATTCAACATTGCAGTACTGCTGCAGCACGGCGGTGTTTTCTTTTTGACACTAGCTGCAGAACTAGTGGTGATATTTCTCATCTTGGCGTCCTGTGATGTGCTCACTCTTGCATGATTAGTCGTTGACGAAGTAATCGGTTCGTCGGTTTTCTTGTATGTTCCGGCATTTTCTTGTGTAGTATTCCTATTTTGAAAATCTTCGGTGGTAGAACCAGTACCAGCAGAGCATTTGTCTTGTTCGTGGTCAGCGCAAGTTTTATTCAACACAGAGGGCCCATCTTCTTTCGTCCGTAGATAGCTCTGCGTTACAAACGGGTGCCTACTTGCGGAGTTCGCAGTCAGCCTCTCCGCCGGGGACAAAGAGAAGAGCGAAGTCATGAAGCTTAGCAGAGCCGTACGACGTGGGCGCTCGTCGGTGTCCTTCGTCATACCACTCGCCCGCACCGTATTAATCATTTCTGGGAGCGACGAGAACTCGAAATATCTGAGTGATTGTTTATTCAGTTTGCACTACGCGTACATTGAGTGACTGTAGAACGCAGTACTCTCTGCCCTGCTCACTTATATTTGAAGCATCAGAAGCTCTAGCTCATCGTCGCGCATCCAAATCTGACGAGGAAAATCCAGCAACACTTGGTGATGTACCAACAGCAGTTTTGTTGTAGCAAGAAGAAGAACAGCAAGAGATTATAAAGTATTCCGATAAAACCTCTACTGAACTCATTGTTCGTTCATTCTATCGAGCAGAACACTTACTTTGTTGACATTGAAGACTTTACAGTGAAGAGTAGAGATAAAGAAGTGCAAGTGACTTTCTCTACTTAGTAGTTATATTTATGCTCTTACTTTTTCGAGGCCGCTTCTTTCTTCTGTGCGTGCTCTTCATATTCCCCTCGCGTTCTCAGGCGCCAAAGTCTGCGTTCCTGCGTTCCACGTCGGCGCTTCCTACGCCTGATGAGTCTCCCAGGCGCCGAACTCGGACGCACGACATTCAAAACCTTCTCGCTCTCCGCTTTAGAGTTCAAGCTCAAATGCCTCGCGGTTCGGACAGCCTGGTGTTGGTTTGATGAGAGGTGCAATCGTATCGTCATCAGCCAGTATCCTCGATGCTCGGAAAAATCGAGTTTGAGATCATGAAGAAATACCAAAACGATATAAAAAGTTGTACAAGAACTAGAACATCCTCTAGAGGTGCTGGGTCAAACATTCGAGAGGTGCGGGGTGATTGGATTCAATTTAAGAACTTGAAATTTTTTGTTCAGCTTCTTCACTCACGGCAAGTGAACTACCTCGATTTTCGTTGATCCGCGTGCAAAATGCGCTTCATCCAGAGGGCACGGGGGCTTCCGATGTTTCTTTTGCCGAATCTCTCGGGCAGCGGGAAGCGATCTGCCCTCCAAGACCGCTTCAACAACGCCAGTCACTGCAGTGCGAATCGCTACGGACGCACAGTCCGCATTTTCCGTCTTCTCATTATCCTTGTTGCGATGTTGATCTGTTTCTTTATCTGCATCAGCCTGTTGACTATCGCCGACTGCTTTACTTGTGCCTTCACCAACATCAGCCGAGTTTTCTTTGATAGGAGGGGTTGCGGAGCTGGGGCTGGTGCCATTCTTTTGCTTCTTTCCACAACTGTCCGATTCTGTTCGTCTACAGGGTTGAAAAACTGGAACAGCTACACTGATCGTGCTTGGTTCGTCTGTCGACTGCTGATTGCAGCTTCCTTCTTCTACGCTGACTTCTCCCTGTTCTTGTATTCCGGCAACGTAGGGGCTCGGTGCATCGGCTGGTATCCCTTCGCTTTTGTCCTGCCCGCAACCCGTTTCATCAGGTAGGGGCGCATTATCCGTGCTTTCTCTCCTTGGATTGTCTCGAAGTTGTGAACAAACATGATCCCCTGTGGTCACGTGCGAACTAGAAACCTCTATCATCTGCTGCAGGTGTTCCGGAACCGGAGCTGCTGCGTTACTATTTGCCGCGGTAGACGGAGGTGCGAGACTACCTGTCATCGGAGTCCAAGCGCTCGATGACGACGTGGACACGCGTTGGCGGTGTTGTACTCCACCTATGACGCCTCCGAGGGAGGAACCGACGGTGCTAGAGGAAATGCTCGTATTCAGCACACTTGTAGTTAATGAGCTAGACTTTGGAAAAATGTTGTCGTTGAGGTTCAGGTCACGAGGACCGCAAGTATCAAGTAGATCGACAACAAGTGCGTCGCTGTTCGCGTCGGTTGTGTCCCGGCCGCTGGTACTCGTGTCGACGATCGTCGCAACTGTTACGCCACTCATCTGCTCTCCTACATTCAAAACCCAAAGCTGCTCTTGTGCCGCATCGCTCGCTAAAGCATTTTTCTCTGGCGTATGGCTCCCGGCTCCTTTATGATCATCACTGCTTGGTGGAAGTAGTCCACCGTGCAGTTGCAGCGCTGCTGTACTAGAGCAAGTAGATGGCGAGGCCCACGCGACCGCACCCGTCCGGGAGTGCATGCCTGCATTGGCTTTTCGCTCGTCGGTACTCTCCAAGGAGTCCGGGTTCAAAGTGGGGTTGGGAGGGGACTTTGACCCTGAGATTTGACTTGGAGGTGGCTCATCCTCACGTAGAGCGACGACGTCAGCAAGTGAATTTACCACATCTACATGCTCCTTGACACCGCGGCCGACGATTCCTGATACTGCTTCCTGTACTATATGCGAATGGGATATGTGATCGCCTTCGTTCTGTCTTTAGAAGAGAATAAGAAATCAAAATCAACATCTATGTTGTAGTATGTTGTTGAAGTCAATCTTGCTGATGGGCTTTTCTTGGACTACAGATCCAGGAGAAGATACAACACCCACATGTAGTAAATCAGTAGATCTAAGAACTAATCTGGAGCAGCTACAGATTGATGCTCTAGATTTTCGCTTTAGCTTTTACAAAATTACTAGTACTGCCTAGTATCCATCAACCCTGTTGTAGTACACGATGTCTGGGGTAGTTCAATTTTCATGACATAAACGCCTTGAAAACCTGCGATTCGATCGATTGTCTGCCTGGCGAGTTGCAGCTCTGTGCTGTCCTCGTTGTCAAAGATGATTTCTTCCACGGGTGCCGGCACTGAATTGCTCGTGGGATTCAAAGCTGCATCTGGTGGATTCTTTTTCGTATTGGATTGGCTAAGGGAGCTAAACGCTGCTGGAGATGCTCCCGAGGAATAAAGTCGCCGGCGCACTGTGTTTGCCTCGTTCTCCAAACCGGATCCCGCACACGAAGAACCAGAGTACGCGCGGCTAGTACTTGCTGCAGAAAGCGAGGGAAAGAGGGGACTACTTGTGCTGCCGGTGGGATTGCTCATAATCATTTTCGATGAAGTTGCGGCTGAAGAAGATGTTGGAGTGCCATGGTTGCCCGCTGCGGACGTCATTGCAGCAGTAGTGTTACTAAATGGAGGGACGGAGCTTGTTGCTCCTCCTGCAGTTGATAGCACGCTACTATTTGGAGAAAGTCCCGCTCCCGGGGGAAATCCTCCTATCACACCACCACTTGCCGGTGGCGTTGCGGCTGCTTGCCAAGATTTAGAAGGAATAGCAATATCCAAAAAACCTCCTCGTTCCACCACTTCAGGAAAAGATTTTTGCATGATTTGTTGCCGAACGAACTACTACAAGGAGAGAGATTTTTTGTTTACCAGCAGCGCATGAAAGTTCGCTAGAACAGTAGTACTGAGCATTTGATTCTTAATGATAGATGTCACAGAGCCTTTTGATGGGCCGCCTCCTGCTGACGCCTGGAACGTTTGTTCTGTGTTCGTCCCTGTGGTACGCATGAGCTTAGGATGGTGGTTGCCGCGCACCGGACCAGACGAGGCTAAAAGAGATCGAGCAGGCCCTACCCGTGGGCCGATCCCTCCAGCGGGAGGCACGCTGCCAGCACCAGCTGCTACGGCTAGCTGCTTCGCGACAATTGCTGAGGAACCTGCCGCAGCTGTGCTTCTTTGAAGCTGTTGTGCGGAAATCAAGGAAGGTGTTCCTTGAGAACTCCAATTCGAACCTCCCTTATTCACGCCCGAGCCGACTGTGGGCGTGGAAGCAATACTGGTAGCCGGACTAGCCGGGGAACTTTCCACCACTTCGCTTTCCATGGCTCGTAACGCGCCTCCTCCGAACCCAGCAACGTTAGTTGTAGTTGTGCTGGAATTCATGCTCCCTGGAGTCGTCGCATCGGACGATGCCGCCTTTTTAGAGCTGTCACGAGGCGTTCCCTTCGATGGCTGCTCCGCCCGTGTCACTTTCTTCATTCCACCTTGGTTCGAGTCCTTGCTCCTGCTCAACACCTGTGACCCTGTCATTTCCTCAAGCCGAGTGTTCGTCGGCGACGTGCCGGAAACTGCCGGCTGCCGAGTCGGTGTACCAGTTGTTGACGAAGCAGATACGGCTACTCCACTTGAAGTAGCAAGCTGTTGCGGAGCTACGCTTCCTGCCGCAACTGGGGACATACCTGTGCTCGAGGATTCCGCTTTGCTCGATCCTTGCTTTGAAGCCGCGCGTCCGCTTCCTCCACCTTCTACTGCGGGAGCAGCATTTTCGACATCCAATGATGGGTCCATTGGGCCTTCTACCACCTGTGCAGCGTGCAATTCCACCTCTTCATTGAAGTCGATCTGGGCGAGGATGTTAAGAAGATCACTAGGTCCCTGGAGGTGCTAAGTAGTTCTTCGTGATGTGGTTCTTGTCATAAATGAATGATCACGTTGATACATAGTATCTATCTATCGAGATGAGAACCTCCAGATAGTGCAGTAGAGCAAGAGGAGAATTTTAAAAACTCGCAACTGCATGATATTCATTTTTCTACTTCTTCAATTGTTTGATGACTTTGCATTTTTCAGTTCACTCTTCCGCAATCAAACTTGGCTAAACGTACTCCGCAGAAAAAGACCAGTACCCCCGGTCCGCGAGCAGACCGTGCTGCGACCTCAGCTTCCGAATACAGATAGTCTTCAGGAGCATCCAGTTCTTGGTCCTCGTCATCATCATCCGGAGGCGTTTGCACGAAATATTTGTGAGTGTATGCGCCTTCCATCATCTCCTTTGGGGGAAGGCCGACAATCTCCGTGATGCGCTTCATCTGATCATATTCGCTTGACCCAGGAAAGATCTGAATATTGTTGTATTCGCTTGGAGAAAATTTGTTTTCTTAGTGCAATGATGCAGGGAATTTCAATGAATACCCTTCTATAGTAGATACGCATGCAAGGGAATGTTTGAAATTTTCATCTTTTTTATCGTCTATGCAAAAACAACTAAGTACTACGTCTACAAAAACACAGAAAACGTTTACAAGGCTTACTGGTAGGCCAATGAACAGCTCCGCGCAGATGCAACCAAGACTCCACATGTCAATGGCAGAGGTGTACGGAAGACCCAGTAAGACCTCTGGACTTCGGTAGAATCTCGACTGAATATACGTATATACGATGTGACCTGGTTGTGAAAATAAGGGAGGAGCACCACTGACTAATGCCGATGACACGACGACCAAACGCACACACATATATAATCGTCAGTCGAGTTTGTTTCTAGAAAATCAAGATGGAGACGTCAACGAGTAAGTTCACTTTTGTGTGTTCTATCAATCTTGGGTAGTTCTTGCTTCTTGATCTTGTGCTCTTCTAAAAATAGAACCTTCGAAGCACGCCGAACCAAAATCGATGAGCTTGACACTCGGCATCCGCGTCGGGGAAAGTAGCACGTTCTCTGGCTTCAAATCGCAGTGAATGACACGCGCTTTTCGCAGGCATTGTAAGGCTTTGATGATCTGCTCCATGATGCTTCGGATAAGCGGAGTCGACAACCCGCGGAACCTGTTAAAAGTGCTTCCAGATTCATGCTCAACATTGTACCGTAGCCCAAGGCAACATCTATCACCAGTCTTCAATTTCAACGCGTGGCCTGCCTCGCAGTACGCATGAAAATCACATACAAGTACAACTACAACTGCAACATCACGATGGTCTAATAATTCTGCAAGAAGTACCCATTTTGCTTGAGCACGTCGTAGAGGTTGATACTAAGAATCTCAAAAGCGATGCATAGGTGTTTTCGGAAGACAAAAAAATCCAGCATTTTGACGATGCGAGAGTCTTCGTCCTTATCCGCCACTTGCGTCTTAGAAGTGTCGTATTAAGCGATACTGTGTTATAATATTATATCGACGTAAGTAGTTCTTCGATTGGATAGGAGCTCAGTACAGGGGTAAAGCTTCGAAATTCTTCAAATTGGCACCTCGGATCATAGTGCAGAGTGAAAACATACAAGGACAAAAAGGAAATAAAAAAGTAGACCCCGTAACATTCAAAAGCTTGAGAATCCGCACCTCCACTAGCGCTTGATGGAAATAAGCCGGTTTGTTCTTGATGATCTTTAATGCCGCGTATCTCGTGGGCGTCGCACCAGCTGGGAACGAGGATCCGAGCCAAGAATATGAAGGTGACTAATATTAAGAGCAATAAAACTTTGCAAACACATCCCGTCGGAAACCTCAACCTCCAACACCCAAACCCAAAACCTCCAACACCCGAACCCAAAACCTCCGACACAAAAACAAACAAACCCCAAACCCATGAACCCATGAACCCATGAACCCAACCATGAAACCATGAAACAATGAAACCATGAAACCACGAAACCATGAAACCAGGAAACCATGAAACCATGAAACCACGAAACCAGGAAACCAGGAAACCACGAAACCATGAAGCCATGGAATTGAATTTCGGGGGAAAGGGCTTAAAATCAAAAATTTTGGGATCTTAGCAGTTCAAACCCTCGAGATTCACTCTCAAAATGGCGAAAAATGTGGAAAATGGCGAAAAATGTGGAAAATTTTCGAAATTTGAAAAAACACGAACCCAAGGAATTAAATTCCAAGTAAAGGGCTTAAAATCAAAAATTTTCGGATCTTAGCATTTCAAATTCTCGAGATTCACCCTCAAAATGGGGAAAAATGTCGAAAATTTTCGAAATTTGAAAAAAAACAAATCCAAGGAATTAAATTCCAGGCAAAGGGCTTAAAATCAAAAATTTTGGGATCTTAGCACTTTAAACTCTCGAGGTTCACTCTCAAAATGGCGAAAATTTTCGAAATTTGAAAAAACACGAATCCAAGGAATTAAATTCCAGGCAAAGGGCTTAAAATCAAAAATTTTGGGATCTTAGCACTTCAGACTCACGGGATTCACTCTCAAAATGGCGAAAAGTGTGGAAAATTTTCGAAATTTGAAAAAACGCGAATCCAAGGAATTAAATTCGAGGCAAAGGGCTTAAAATCAAAAATTTTGGGATCTTAGCACTTCAGACGCACGGGATTCACTCCCAAAACGACGAAAAACGTGGAAAATTATCGAAATTGGAAAAACGCGAAGCCAAGAGGTTGAATCTCAGGGAAAGGCCCTAAAATCAAAAATTTTGGGACTTTAGCACTTCAAACGCACAGAATTCAACCCCAAAACGGCGCCAAAATGTGGAAAATTTTCGAAATTTGAAAAATGCAAATCCAAGAAACTGAATCGCAGGGAAAGGGCTGAAATTCAAAAACTTTGGGACTTTAGCGCTTCAAACGCACAAAATTCAATCCCAGAACGACCATAAAACGCGGAGAATTTTCGAAATTTGAAGAACGCAAATCCAAGAAGTTGAATTTCAGCGGAACGGCTTAAAGTCAAAAAGCTTCGGGATCTTAGCCCTTGACTTCAAACGCACGAGGCCCAATCCTCAAACGATGGCAAAACGTGGAAAATTTTCGAAATTTGAGAACGCATATCGCTTACATCTTTGCCGTGCTTAGTTTCTTATTTTGGGGAGGTGGGGCATCCTAGTGGGAGGGATGTTATCGGACGCTCCAAGCTAGTAAACAAATTCTTGAAGATGTTGAAATAATTGCAGCAGCAACAGACGCAATCATGTATTTCTTGATATTCTGTATAATTGTAGCTGCAACTGCATGCATATGCAACCAAGTTCTACTAGTTTCTGACTGCAGCATTTATTTTGTACTAGGCTTACTCTATATGAAGGGCCGACTTCCTCGCGCACAGAAAACAACTACTCGTCTTCTTCGTCATAAGTTTCCCGCAGCAGTAGTTTCAACACTACAATTTCCCGTGACTTCGCACTTGAGAACCTGCCCGAATGTGCCATGACCCAGTCGCTCCATGATAGAGTAGCATAAACCATCCGGATTATACAGATTGTCTCGCACTCGACAGATGTAATCATGCTTGGAGTTATCGTACCTGAATTTTGAGTTTCAAAGAATTGCATTTGAATGGAGATCGACAAAAAAAAGCGTATCGACAAAGCTCCGCGCACCAAAATGAAAGGAAAAGGTAGTTACTTACTATGTATGCCTATCAAAGAAAAGGTACTACTAGAGATGGGCATCGAGATCATGATAATTTTTTGAGAATCCAGTGCTACTTGCTCCTAAACTTTTGTGGAGACAGAAGACTTTACCCGTTGTTGTGAACGCCCTGGCTCAGCTGTGTTAAAACGCGTTTCGGTGCCAATTTTGGCTGATATCGAAATTCGGGACTGCATCTTCGATATGTTTCTACCAAATCCCGGGTCAAATTCAATAAGGCAGCTGACCGTTCCTCAGCTGGTTATTTGAGTGTTTTGGTCTAGCTGTATGAAGATGTGGTGGTTAATTCAAGACGCGATTTTGATATCACTCATTCATTCTTTCATTCAGTTGGTGACAGGTGCGGCTGCCCTCGTCATCGTGATCATTGATGATGAGTTCGACGCAAGACTAACGGTTTTTTGTATCAAGTCTATTCTGATTTGTACTATAATTGAACGAGTCATGAATTTTGTTCTATTGTCGTGCATGTTGAGTCCATTATGCTGAGCTGCAAATGAACTTATCAGTTGTAGTCCAATACCAACGTCAGGCCGCTTTTCCGCAAGCCATCGTGCCGTGGGTCGAAAAAAGAGAGTCTTCTTACAAGCTGTTGGACTCTTCTTGGGAGACCTCAAGTCTGTTGACGGCGCGCTAGTAAGTCGCGACATGATCTGGCGAGGACGATGTGCTGGTAGCAGCTAGCGCTTGCAGTCCTCCTATACTAAAACTTCAACTTCTACTACTTACTGTTACTAGTCCTTCTCCTACGTACTATATTGCTGCAGCGAACATAAGGATAACTAAAAAACAATGTTCTGAAATAAACAAAGAAAGAAGATATCGCAAAAAAGTACCAAGAGAAAAGAGCCAGTTGCTAAAATCTCTCTTGTTCTATCTGCAAGTCCACTTCTAAAAATAAATTTGGACTAGAGAAGACTAAGACATGAGAAATGGCAATAAGAATTTGCCGCCGTAGCCCCTCAGCCAGGTGTACCTCGCAGAAAAATCTTGGTTGAAACATTTCTTCTTACTCTTAGAATCTATGTATTCATGATTCATGATTCTTGCTTGTCTTTATTATATATTTAATGTAGGAACAAATGAGACATTATCATGTAATCACAGAACTCAGGTAAGTTAAATGTCGAGCGAATAACTGTCACAAAGTGGCAAGGCTACCTCGTTGTTCCTGAGAGCGACATTACTAAAGGAAGTATATATATCACGTTCGTTCAGTGGTGAATGTTAGAGTCTCCCCTTTTGTGTTCTCACGAGTGATCATTTGTGAGCTCTTCGTTCCGTAGGTTGCCCTCTCTTCACGAGTGATCATCTTTGCTTGTTGTCGTTCTCGCTTCGCTTCTTCATCTTGTCCACATCTCGTCACATGAGCGATCACTTTGCTTCGGATGTTGGTTCTGTCTCTGCGGAGCATCGGTGAGCACAGTCCTGCCAGGACTGGAGGTCTTCCATGATTGAGTTGAGGGTGGCGCCTCGTCTCTTGAGAAGCCGGGAGCTATAGGCTGCAGGGGGTGCTCATGGCCTATAGCCCTGACCCTCTCTATCACATTGTGTGATATGCTCATCGGTCTGTTCTTTGTGGTTTTGTTCGTTTCTACTTCATCATCTTTACCTCCGATCATTCCCCCTCCTCTGACTCTCTCATTCTCTCACCTCTACGTATACGATATTTTTAATTTGATATCACCTAGATACAGAGGAGAGTAATTACTGAAAGTTCGCAGCCAGTTTGTGCTGGCCGGCTCCTTCCTTCCTCCCAAACAACCCTTAGGAAGAGAGAACAGAAAGGAAGACTTGAGCTTAAACTCAAGAAGTGGATTAATGACTTACTAATAAAAGCGGCTACAATCTAAACAATTCATCACTCTTCTTATTATTTGTCAGTATGTAGTCTGTGAAGTGTGCGATCGCCATTCACATGCACTCTACTGATGCCGCCTGCGGCTGCGTTTGTTGGTTAAGCTACTAGTTTGCGTCTTGGGTTCGGTTTAATTCTTATGTCTACTGCTGAGTGCACTTTACTGTCTTTGTCTTGCTCTTCTTTCCAAAACACCGGAAACTACTCTCCTGCCTGATACTCCACTAGCTTACTCCTCCTTCCTTCCAATCCTGACCCTCTCGGTATATAACATACCTTCCACAATTACCTCTACTTTCTTACTTTCTGTGCCATTTACCTCATGCTCCTCCATATAACACTGCGAATCCTTTCCGCTAATTCCATACACTGATGATGATTCTGACCTGTTTCATCTTGAATATGACTTGATGTGCATCACCCTAATGATGATCACGATCATGACAATGTCAATACATCCAACTACAACTACTCATGCAAATCATCAGTAGAACTACAGATCAAGTAATGCAGTACAACATGTCAGGACAATACAAGCACAACTGATACCCCTTCTTCTACGTCGTCAACGTCATCCTCTACAACGTCATCCTCTACAATGTCTTGCGGCTAAGTATTAGGACAACGGCAACAACCATCAGACGCACAATTAGCTCTTAAAGATACTACTAACACAACAGCAACACGATAATACGAGAAGAGGAATCCTAATGCGGAAAAGATCCTCATAACCAATGTTAAGGTTCACGTAACTACTCTCGACTCAAACCATTTATGGCTTACTCAGCAGAAAAATGTTATGGCTCATACGTGTGCTCCTGGAAAGATCCTTTATGGCCTACTCACAAAGTCACTTCGATCGTTGACCTTTCAAAGCATATAAATGCTATGGCTCATACGCTTAATCCTGGAGAGATCCGTTATGGCCTACTCACAATGTTGCTCTGATCGTTGACCTTTTACAGCATAAAAATGTTATGGCTCATGCACTTGATCCTGGAGAGATCCCTTATGGCCTACTCACAAAATAATTTTGTTCGTTGACCTTTCACACCTGATCATGAACATGATCGGACTCACTTACTGAAATTAGGAATCCACTGGCCTAAATACATGAACCAAGATACCTCTAAGGCCATCTTGAATTATGAATATAGTTATTGTCGGCACCGACTTAATGTTCAATGCAGCTCATGATCTACGTAGAAGGATGATCACTGAAAATATACGACTGACTTAATTAACTACGTAGTGACGCATGATCCTGAAGAGATCAGTATGGAGGACCCTACTATGGACCTCTACAACCCATAATTAAATGATCTTGGTATGAATGTGCTATGTTATGGCCCTCTTACGATCCGGAATTAAATAGTCCTGGTGTGATCTGTTAAGGCTCAATCAGTTAAGGAAAATTCTCCTAAACCTAATTGTGTAATGAAGCAGACTGTAGAAAATTACTTGGTATGTATCAGAATGAGTGATGATCTATTTATCCTCCTTTAACAACTCACTCACTTCATACAGTGAACAAAGGACATTGTCACTAAGACTAAGCTATAGTGGTTAATGCATATAAGAACTATTCAACATGTCGAATCGATATCCACCACCACCGGGGCCGCATGTCCCTGGTGTCATGTCAACTCCGTCCTTTCTGTCTAACCTATTCACATCGGATCAGACTAGGCCCTCTATCCAATCACTACATAAAGCTAGTCGCTCACTCACTAAAAGCGGCAAAGCACCACCACCTCCACCCCGTTTCCTAGGTAATCTACCCCTCAGTGCCTCTAGTGCTCCTAGTAAACGAACAAACTACAATGTCAGTGCTACGTTACCTGGGTCACACCTTTCTCCCAATACGTCTCACAGACCCCCTGTCAAAAAAGCTGGTCGTAAAAACAGAAGACAAGTTCATACACATAATTCTAGAATAAAGAAACTACGTGTGCAACTTTTTGAGTCATTTGGTGTAGTACTACCTCCATCAAGACCTGTAAGAACAGATTGTCTAACTGCCGACTCTGCATTGCTAGCTGGCCCCCCTGCTTCTCTGCGATCTAGCAAAGATTCAGCGGTTAATCTGTCCCCTTCTATATTCACTGATCCTCCTACTCTTAACACAAATGAGCCTGCTGATCGTTCACAAGGTCAGCCCCTGTCACTAATGCAGCAGCCCTCTCCTAGACCCATAAAACTCAAAAATGAAGGTACACTTTGCACCCCTGTAAAACAGTCAGTAAGTGAATCTACAAAAAGACTGAAGAATGTAGTAGGTAATGTTTTCAAGTGTGCTATCGAATATGATGTTGTGTTACGCACTCCCAGACCTCCTATGAAGAGTTATGTTGACTCAACAGACTCTGACTCTGTCAAGACTGATGAGTCAGATAGATCAAGTTTAGTTAGTCATGAAGATAAAGTAAAGCTAACACAACTAAGGAATGTCCTGAATAGAAACAAAAGCACTAATTGGCGTAACTCTCAGTACAAACAACTTAGTACTGATACATGTGTAATAATGTCACATGAACTTGCTAGGCATGTGCTATCCTTCCTGCAGAAAGACTACACACGAATAACTAAAGAGATAATGGTTCTGTCAAAGCCTTTCTCCAACATGCTATACCTATATCGGCATACAAGATGGCTACAGCATCACATGAAAGATAGTCCTGGCACTTATCTAGTTGACTACTTCAGGTGCTCACCTAAGTACGACATGGCTAATGCCTTCACTCAAATCACTGAGAAGCAATTCTCCAAAACCTATCATCCCCTAAGCTTTTCTATACATACTAAACTAGAACGGCATCACACTACCCATCTTCTACCGCTGGATGTCAGTAAGGTTACCTGTGGCATACAATTCCTAGAGCTTCCACTTGTTCTCAAGTACCATTTCATGATGCATATGCTAGGCACTCAACGACAGTTAGCTAGTCTATATGATGAAAATACATGCGAACACTCAAGTCCTAGTATCAAATGCTATGGTGAGTGTCTTATTTGTGATTCAGTTCAACCACCAGAATTTTTTGCAAACAAAAGACAACTACAGATAAAATTTCGATACCCTAACTCAGTTGCCTGCAAAGGGGAGTCTCACTATAATAGATTATATATGGGAGTTTGTAGTTGTGGTTTCATCTACACTGGGCTTACTACTGCAGCCAGCGCTCATTATAATCGCATGACTGGCCATGCGCAATCTCTCTTTGAACCGTTGTCGAATAAGTTCATCTCGTTACATGCAAATGAATTTCCTAAACATAGCATTAGCTGGCGGTTAGTTTGGGTTGAAGGTCCAGGAGCCAAACAAATAATCAGCGGTCATATGTATCTAGCTTGGTTAGAGTCTCTGTTTATAG